AAACTAAAGGAGTGTTTAAAGGACTATTTTGCTTTGAATATGTATAAGGGGACTTCAATGTCAATGGTATGGGATGCAGGTAAAGCATTTATGCGCGGTGTTTTGATAAAAATGAATAATTTTTATAAGCGAAATCAGATTCAGAAACGTAGAGAACTTGAAGATGAAATTAAATTAAAAGAAAGGGCTTTGATTTTAAATCCTTCTGATGAGAGTATTAAAGAATCTGTAAAGTTATTAAGGTCACAATTTAATATGTTGATAGCAGACCAAGCTGCAACCAACTTATTATTTATGAAACAAAATACATTTTGTAATGCCAATAAGCCTGGGAGATGGTTGGCTTATCAATTAAGAAAGAAACAGAGACAAAGAATAATAGAGAAAATAAACTATAAGGGTAAATTAGTTTCTCAGAAGGAATTGATTAAAAAATCTTTTTTGGATTATTATCAAAACCTATATAAATCTACTAATATACAAATGCTAGATATAAATAAATATTTAGCTGAGGCAAGTTTTCCTAAACTGACTGAGGATCAGAAATATGAAATTAATGGTTTAATTACTAAGGAGGAAATTACCTCAGCAATTCAACAATTGAAATTAGGGAAAGCACCGGGTACGGATGGGTTAACAGCTGTTTATTACAAAGTTCTAATAGAGGAGATGATCCAACCATTACATGATCTTTTTAATGGTATTTTACAGGGTTTAGAGATTCCTCCTTCATGGCGTAGTGCTTTTATATCATTGATTCCAAAGGAGGATCAAGATCTTACCCTACCAAAAAATTACAGGCCTATATCTCTTTTAAATGTGGATTATAAGATATTTGTAAAAATTTTGGTAAATAGGCTTATGAGGGTGGTGCATCATCTTGTGCATAAAGATCAATCAGGATTTATAACAGGAAGGTATATGAAAAATAATGTCAGACAAATTATTAATTTACTAGAATATTTAGACAAGAACAACCAAGTTCCTGCAGGGCTCATATTTTTAGATGCTGAAAAAGCATTTGATCAATTGAATTGGCATTTTATGTTAAGAGTAATGGAAGAAATGAATTTTGGTGAAAAGATATTACAAGCCCTTACGGTAATATATCAAAAACAAACGGCACAACTTATTGTTAATGGAGGTTTGTCGGAGGTTTTTACAATAGAGAAAGGTACTAGACAGGGGTGTCCTTTATCGCCATTGTTGTTTGTTTTAACATTGGAAATATTATTGATCAAAATTCGAGAGTCTCAGGAAATTAAAGGAATATATGTTAATAAAAAAGAATATAAGTTGAGAGCTTTTGCGGATGACTTGGTTGTTACTTTGTCGCAACCTGATTATTCTGTAGTAAACTTATTACAGTTGATTCATCATTATGGTTTGGTCTCGGGTTTTAAGATTAACGTAAATAAGACTAAAATTTTACCTAAAAATATGTCGAGTCAGGAGAAGCAGATTTTGGTCAACTTGACGGGTTTTGAGATTGTTAATAAGGTAAAATATTTGGGGGTGATGCTGTCTGTTTCTAATGCAAAATTATTTAAAAATAATTATGAAAGGTTGTGGGTCAGGGTACAGAAGGACTTGAAGAATTGGGAAAAGTTGCAATTATCCCTCATGGGAAGAATTGCAGTGATAAAAATGAATATTCTACCCAAGTTTCTTTTTTTGTTTCAAATGTTACCAATTTTGAAAAATGAGATTAATTTAAATGAGTGGCAGAAGGGTCTCAACAAATTTATTTGGGCAGGGAAAAAACCAAGGGTTAAGTTTAAAATTATGCAAGACTTCCGTGAGAGGGGTGGACTTAAGGTACCAAATTTGAAATTATATTATGATGCGGTGGTTTTAACATTAATTAGTGATTGGGTAAATTTGACAAATTCTGAGATACTTTACTTAGAGGGATGGGATTTACTTTATGGGTGGCATGCCTATTTAATATTTAATAAAAAAATAGATTGGGCTTTTAAATCTCATATTTTAAGAATTTCTTTACTTAGGATCTGGAGAAAATATTATAAAAGTGATTTTAAAGTACCATTATGGGCTATACCTTGGCATGCGATAGAAGGAATAAAAAGAGGGGTTAAAATGGATATGGTGTCTTATAGACAGTTACTTAAATGGGATGGACAAAACTGGCAATTAAAATCACGGGAAGAGTTAGCACAAGAAAATTTTACTTATTCTTGGTTCCAATATAGGCAACTATTAGATAGATGGAAGATGGATTGTAAGGTGGGTTTTCTTAGAGAAGATGAAAATCTTATTAAGCAACTGAAGGATCAAAGACAAACCCACATTAAGAGAATTTATGGGGTTTTAGTTGAATTGGACTCAGAAACGGAACTAATTAAAGATTGTATGATTAGATGGGCGCAGAATTTTGGTGAGCCAGTTTCATTGGACACCTGGGAAACTATTTGGGTGAGAAATGTCAAATTTACTCAAGCACAGAACTTAAGGGAGAATTTTTATAAAATGTTTTATAGATGGCACCTTGATCCACAAAAAATGTCTTATATGTACCCTGACGTGCAACCCAAATGTTGGAGATGTGGTTATAAGGAGGCTTCCTATTATCATATTTGGTGGTCATGCAGAGAGATAAAAGCATTTTGGATTAAAATATGGTGGAATATCCAGAGAATTTTTAGAAGGAGGGTAAAATTTACTCCGCAATTATTTTTGTTAGGTATTGTTACAGATTGTGATACAAAGGAGGTTGTATTGATGTTAAACTTGATCACAGCCGCTAGGCTGTTAGTAGGACAATACTGGAAGAAGGAATCTTTGCCTACATTGCAGGAATGGTTTCTTAAAGTAGCTTATCTGGCAGAAATGGCAAAGATTTCGGCTTTCTTAAAGCAACAAACGCAAGAGAAGTTTTTTGCTGTTTGGGATAAATGGATAAAATTTATACAATTTAGATTGGGTATACAAAAATATTATATAGTTTTTTCATAAGTTTTATTTTCATATATATTATAGATAATTTTTTTATATATATAAAAAAGTTTTTAATTTAATTTTTATTTTTATTTTTTAAGCCTATATTCTGCTCTGGGAAGCTCGGGGGGGGGGGAAGGGAGGTTTTTTTTTGTTTGTTTTTTTTTTGGGAGGGCTGGGGGATGGGGTTTTTTTTTTTTATTTTATTTAATATATGTATTGTTTAGTTTTATTTTTCTGTATATGTTGCCTTTTGTTTTGTATTATTTTTCCTTTTTTGTAAAATTTATAAAACTTTCAATAAAAAAAAAAAAAGATTGAATATAAAAGTAATTAAGATATGTATAAGCTAAAAATTTATTGATAAATGTAATAAGCATGTTTTTACTTAGTTGATATAATAAGAACTGTATTCGCTTAAATATGAGAAAGTAGATATTAAGGGGAAAAGAGAGGAAGTATTTGATGTTGAAATAAGGAAAATTTTGGTCATTAAATTTAAGACATTTGGAAATTAGTTGAAAATAAGGATGTTATATTGTATTATTAACTAGATGATGCAAGATGGTGGGAAATAGAATATACTTAAATAGAAAAGATGTGTATCTTGAATATTAGACTTTGTTATGAATTGAGATAAAGGAAACTTTGGTTACTTAAAACTTGGAAATTATAAATATTAAATGTTAAATTTAAATATTGATGGGAAACTAAAAATTGGGAAAAACTAATAACAGGACATTGATTGTCTATAAAGATTGAATGTAAAAGCCACTAGGATATGTATAAGCTAAAATTTATTGATAAATATAATAATGCTATTTTTACTCAATTGATATAATAAGAACTGTATTAGTTCAAATATGAGACAGTAGATATTAAAGGAAAAAGAGAGGAAATATTTGATGTGGTATTTGAGATTTGTACTGAAGATTTTTGTATGCTATTGAATTATCGATTAACCCAGACACCACGTTACTTTTTAAATACTTAAATGTAAAATTAGAAAATTAATAAAATACTACCAAAAAAAAAAAAAGGTTAGAATCTTGAGATGGTTCAGTATTTCTCAACAGAGGTAATCCTTAAAACTGCCTAAACTGATAGGTTGGGATGAAAGACATGGCTGGGACCAGGGCCAGAATGTAAGTGAATACAATGTCATAATAGTCATACATAGGGTGCCACTATATAGGCCAGGTCATTTTTTAAGAACTATGAGTCATCCTTTATTGTTTTGGTGTCCCAATGCTGGAGGGGATATGGCTGATGGCATGACAATACAAGAGAAGTTTCAGTCTGATTTTTATATATTTATTTGGCCCTAGTTCAAAAAGAAAACAAAATTGAGTTAACATTAATTGCATACAATATACTGAGGATAGATTAAAAGAAGAAAGGAGGTGTTGTGTATATATAGCAAGTATCTGAGTGTGTGCGCATGTATTATGTGTCTGTATATATGTGTGTGTGTGTGTGTGTGTGTATGCTTTAGATGTATATATATGCTTTATATGCTTTATATGGAGGTTAATTCCAGGTGTCAGGTATGATACAAGGAGCAGCAAAGAAAGACATGCATCCCAAAACACACAAAGGCATTCTTGAAAAGGGATGGTTGAGCAGATTAAATAGAAAAGAGTACTTTAAGCTTCATAGACATCTAAAGCAAAAAATATTGCTCTCAATTTTACTGGTGGATGAGGGACGGAAATTTGGTTCTCTTTTCAGAAATGGGGTGGATTTAAGGGACAAAGTTCTTTCTGACAGGATTGTCCCTCATCTCTGTCACCCGAGAGCTTTTTAAATGCTAATTCCAAGACTGAAGCCAGGGTTTTTGCTTTCAAAGCTTATGTGAATGAGTTACAGTCACTACCATTTATACAATTCATTCATTTATAAGGTTTGGCAGCTATAGGATATTTTTGTTGAAAAACTAAAGGGCTCAGGCATTTGCTACTTAATATCTAACTAGGGGATCAAAGATAAATCATGACATCTAGAAGCAAAACCACCTTATTGCTACTTTAATTTCTGTTTACCTGTTTCTTGCATAGCAACACACAATTGTAACTGATCCAAGGTTCCTAATTGATGGGTATCGTTTCTCTGGAAAACTTCCTGCCATGGGAGTTTCAAGAGAAAGAGAGAAATTAGTAATATGAAATCACACTAAGCAGCTAGTTTCACTGCTGGTCCAGCCTTCCATTAATGTCTTCTTTTTCTTCAATGACCCAAGAAAATTGCTATGATCCAACTTTAGCTAAAGAGAGACTGAGAAATAGCAGAACTCTTAGAGTAATATAAGACAGGAATGTTTCATCAGATATAAAATTTTAAGGCAAACTAAAATGCTTCTTCGGCTAAGGATGTTGGTGTTTCCTAAAACACCCTGTTCTGTGCAAAACGTGGTTAGGTTTGCTGTACTTTTTTTCCAAAATAGAGGGAAACTTTCAGATTTTCTCCAAAAGCGACAATTCACAAGGGAGTAGAGATTGGAACATTAGTGTGCTAAATCTCTACAACTGGCAATAATTAAAGAAAGGTCTTTTAGCCTATATTTCCCCCATTTTCCTTAAATTAAGCAAATGGAGCGATCATTAGCTAAGTTAGGCACAACATAATGCACAACTGCATGTATGCATGTACATACAGTATGGCGGCTTTTCTTGCCAGTGAATGTGATGCCTTAACTGTAGGGGAAATTGCCAGTTTTTTGTCTTCTTTTGTTGTGAATTAGCAATGTTGCTGGTATTTTGGCATATGGTGGGTGAAACTATTTTATAAAATGTTTCAGGAGGAGCTAAACCTGATCTTGGCGGCTACCATTTGGCTCCCTTTTCTTTCCATTTCAAAAAAATACTTTAAATGTTTTATCTTGGAAGCAGCTGTTCCTTTCTCAAACAGCTGTTACCAGTTTTTTAAAAGTTTGCTGGGGCATTGGTAGCTGATCAGAAATCCAACAGATGCATGTTGCATTGCTTTATTAGAAAAACAAGTCATCCAGAAATTCCAAAAATAAAAACAAAACAAAACAAAAAAGATACATATCAGCAGTAGTTGAATCCCAGATTCTGCATAGATTCTTGGAAATCCTTTCCCAGGATCACACATATTTATAGCAGAGAGACTCCAGTTAATCATACAACTCAGTGGTGAGGTCAGGAAGTTTTGGAATGTTTATAAGAATGGAATATATATTGCTCATGGTTTTTGTCACCCTCAATTAAATGCCATTATATTAGTCAAATTATGAGATTGCAACAGGAGCCCTAGTGGCATAGTGGTTAAAGTGCAGTATTGCATGCAAACTCTGCCCACAGCCTGGAGTTTGATCTTGACGGGTCTCAAGGTTAATTCAGCCTTCCATCCTTCCATGCTTGGTAAAATGAGGACCCAGATAGTTGGAGGCAATATACAAATACCTTGTAAACTGCCCAAAAAGTGATGTAAAGCACTATGAGGCAGTATATAAGCCTAAATGCTATATAATAGGCTTGGAATAACAGTAGTACCTGCACCAGTATGAAGCTGTTTTTCTCCTTACCATCTACCATCTACATTGGAGCTGACAGATTATAGAAGTAGTTGTGCATAGTGATTCATTCTCAGCTCCAGCACTGATACTGCCGAAAGCAAAAATGGAAGCAAACCTGGAAAAACCATAAAGTGTCCTCTTTCCCCTCCCCAGTGATCTGTTTGTGATTTACTGCTCTCTCTCTCTCTCTCTCTCTCTCTCTCTCTCTCTCTCTCTCTCTCTCTCTCTCTCTCTCTCTCTCTCTCTCTCTCTCTCCCCTCCCTCCCTCTCTCCCTCTCTCTCTCTCTCTCTCTCTCTCTCTCTCTCTCTCTCTCTCTCTCTCTCTCTCTCTCACACACACACACACACACACACACATTGTTTTTTACCTGGTATAGAAGCAGCTTCTTCCTGAGAAATCTGAATTCTTGAATGCTCAAGGTTCCAGTACTGTTAAGCTGAATTATGCTATTAAGGTGTACAATATGACAGAGAAGGTTGGGACTAGGAAGAGATCGCAAAGCTGGAAACCAAGTTAGCTTGGCAAAAAGCAGGATAGGAATTTGTTTCAGTAAAGCATACCTTGTGTCTAGCATACTCAAAGTCAAAACTAGGACTTGATTTCGAAGGTCTTTGAATTATGCCCCAAGGAACATTGTACCAATCCCTAAAAGAGTCTCTTCACCATTAATTTCCAAGATTGCAAAGCCAGATGTCAGGTTGAGTAGTCACAGGAGGAAAAATAAACCCCTGTTAGCTCAAATGAATAATTTATAAGGTTGGACTGTTGATATAGATGCATCTAAATCCTGCAGTTCTTCCTAAGGCTTAAGCCAAACACTCTGGCCTGTTTTACATGCAAAGAGATTCAGACCCACTGGAAGATATTCATTCCTTCCATTCTTTCTCACTGTCCTGATATTATTATGCAGCCTTCATGGCGAGGCTATTGGACTTGAGCTGTTTGCAAGGATCTCAATCTTCAGTGTAATACTTAAGGGAAGGACATGTGAATATGAAACAGAGAGATAAGTGAGAGTAGCCCAAAACAATAATGAGAGTCGGGGACAGCATGTAGGAAACCATACACTCATAATACATGAAAGCGTATGTTCTCCAGCATGATTGGATGGAGAACCCACGGATGGGTTGTCTTAATCTATCTGCTCCAATTAGACTAAGTCTGAAATTTAGTACCGCCCCCTCTGTGCCAACTGCACCCCAGTTTTAGACTTAGTCTCTTTGCCCCAAGACGCGTTTTGTCTTCGCTCCTGGAGCAGAAGACTGTTTAATTCTATTTAATTACTTAGCTCAGGCTATTATTATTATTTGTTATTTTATTATTGATTCAGAATCGATTATATCTAGAAGAAAGATCAATTATCCCAGTCTGAAGCCTATTCAGGCTGACAGACTCACAATCCTCTCCCTCTGGGGGGGGGGAAACTTTTCCCTTCTTTGTTTTCCTCAGTTAGGGACAGCAAGATCAAACCTTTGATTTAGGTCGTTTTCAGAGCCTCATCAAGCCTGGAGGGAGCCTTCCCAGGTCCCTCGGCCCCAGCAGAGAGCAGCAGGTGAGAATTTGGGCGCGGCCCAATTTTCGGAGCCGGGAGGGCCTGTCAGGCCTTGGACGACAGCTTTTCCAGCCGGCCTAATCACATGCCACCAGCTGCTTTAGGAGCCCAGGCGATTCACCTGAACGAGGGCTCGTTGCAGCTTAGACCCTAGGCCTCAAGGCCTTCTCCCAATTTTCGGAGCCGGGAGGGCCTGTCAGGCCTTGGACGACAGCTTTTCCAGCCGGCCTAATCACATGCCACCAGCTGCTTTAGGAGCCCAGGCGATTCACCTGAACGAGGGCTCGTTGCAGCTTAGACCCTAGGCCTCAAGGTCTTCTTCCAACGGCCGTTTTTTAGGGCGCGAAATTGGCGGCCGCCATTTTGAATTGCCTCCCAGCAGCCATTTTGGGTGTGGCTGAAGCCCCCAGCGGCCATTTTGTATGTGGTTGAGGCCCTCGGTGGCCATTTTGTGAGTGGCGGAAGTCACTGGCGGCCATTTTGTGGGTGGCTGAAGTCGCCGGCGGCCATTTTGTGTGGGGCTGAAGCCTCGGCGGCCATTTTGAGTGTGACTGAAGTCACTGGCGGCCATTTTGTGGGTGGCTGAAGTCACCGGCGGCCATTTTGTGTGGGGCTGAAGCCTCGGCGGCCATTTTGAGTGTGCCTGAAGTCATTGGTGGCCATTTTGTGTGTGGCTGAGGCCAGACTGCCTGGAACTTTCTTCTGAAGGCAGTATTACATCATCGGTGGCAGGATCGTCGAGAGAGCAGGTTCGACCGGGGAGGGCCGGATCGATCCCAAGTGATCGGGGTGCCCATTAACTCCCCGCCCATCCCCCTCTTGGGCTGAAGTATCTCTGTAGACTCCCTTGGTGAAGTACAGCGCCGAGGGGGGCATTTTGCCAAGGTTGAGACCAGAGCAACTCATCATGGCAGAGAAAGGCAGCGAGCCAGCCAAGAGGAGTCGCCAATCAGAGGCAAGTGGTAAGAGCACCACCAAGCGAGCCCGGCCAAGCAGGGAGCCACAGAGGGAGGAAGGGTGCCAAAGACTGAGAGCGGCCTCCCCAGATCTGACAGACACGATGGGAAGGTCTATTTTGGAGCCCCTTTCTTCGTACAGTGCCTCAGCCCCAGGGGCCTGGTCTCCCCCCAGGGGAATTCCTGAGTCAGATTCAAACCTAACAGTGGCTTCAGGGAGGGGTATAACCGGTCAGGACACCTCAGGGCCCCAGGCCACATTCACTCCCACTGCAGCAGGACTTCGCCCTCCTGAGAACCAGGCCCTGAACCCAAACCTCCTCCAGTCCATGATAGCCCAGGCTGTGGCTCAATTTATGGCCTCCAACACCACAGACACCCCCCCAGGCCACGTATCATCCACAATCTCCAGATTTGATGGAGGATCCCTCATCGGATTTGGAATCTACAGGGGCTGAACAATCTGGCCTGATTTTGTTTGAGGACGAGGGCATCACTCCCTCTGACCCCACCCCTCCTGTCGGTCTCTTTGACCATTCATTCTTTAATTCCCTGCTACTCAGGGCCTGCACTAGTGCAAACCTCCCCCAAGAACAGGAGACCCCACCTCCAGGGGTCCCCACGCCATATACACCAAGCCCTCAGTCTCGCAGAACAATATTCCCTGCCCTCCCCTTTTTCTGAATATAGTTCAAGAACAATGGGAGAACTTAGGATCCTTCTTAAGCCCCGGTGCAGTAGAGAGAACATTATTCAATGTTGCCCGTTCCCTGGCCTCCCTATTGGAGATTCCTGAGATTGATGAGCCTTGAACTCATTGTCTCCCAATGTTAACATCCCTGGGGACATAAATGAGGCACTTAGGGCGGAGGATAAAAAGATTGACTCCGCATTGCGTAGTTCCCATCTGGCATCAGCCTGGGCAACAAGGATGGCAACGTCCATGGCCTTCTTCGCTAGGGCTTCAGCCCTTGGGTTACATGAGCTCCAGGACAGGATCCCTCCAGACCAGCTCAGAGCTCACCAAAATCTGGGTAAGTTAGTGGCTACATCCCAGTACCTAGCCGACGCTTCTCTGCACATGGCTAGATACACTGCCAGACCATCGCTGCAGACATCTCAGCACGAAGGTTCCTTTGGCCCAGGAATTGGCGAGCAGACACCAAGACCAAGTGGCGTCTGGCCTCTAAACCTTACACAGGTGGACATCTCTTTGGTAAGGCACTAGGACCATACTTAACTGAAGGTAAGGACAAACGTAAAACTCTGGTTAACTCATGTCACAGAGCAGTTACAGGAGGCTGCCTTTCGACCAGCTCCATCCTGGGACTGGGCCCAGGCATCCCTCTATTCCTTTCAGAGACAAGAACGACAGCAGGATCGTTCAGCATGCAGAAGCAGACCACAGATCCAGGCCAAGCGGCCCCTTCAAGACCGAGGGGCCGTTCCTCTGAACGAGGCAAGTGACCTCACAGTCTCACTTCCCATAGGAAGCCAGCTGGCCCCTTATTCCAGCACTTGGGCAGTCACCACTACAGATGCCGGCTGGTCCCTTATTCCAGCACTTGGACAGCCATCACTACAGATGCATGGGTGTTAGACACTGTCAACAGGGTTTGAGACTAGAAATTGTTCTCAACCACCTGACAATTCCGCTCTTGCCCTATCCCAACGAGCAGGTCCAGGGCTGACTTTATGTCAGATGCCATAGCTCATTTATTACAAATACGAGCAATTGAACCAGTACACAAGACCAAGAAGGACGAAGGTTTTACTCAAACCTCATCGTCATCCCTAAGACTTGGGGGGCTGGAGGGAAATCTTAGACTTGAAAGGTCTAAATCTTACTTGAGGTATAAGAAGTTTAAGATGCAACCACTTCAATCAATCCTGGCCAGCATCCGGCAAGGTGACTTTCTTACCTCAATAGACCTAACTGAGACATGTTTCCTAACCACCGCAAATTCCTCAGATTCAGCTATGCCCATTACCAGTACAGAGCCCTACCATTTGGCCTCTCATCGACACCGAAGGTATTTACAAGGTACTGGCAGTGCTCGCAGCCCACCTTAGACAAATTCCAATCAGAATTCAATGCTATTTAGATGACATACTAATTCAGTCATCATCATTCCGAAACGCTCAGTCAGACCTCGCCCTAGCCATCAAGGTCTTTCAGGAGCACGGGTTTTCTGTTAATTTCCAGAAAAGTCATACAACAACCCGGCTCCTCCATTTGGGCGCTGTTATAGACACGGACAATTGTACGGTCTACCTATCTCAGGACCGAAGGAACTCTATTCAGACTCTTGTATGTCGGATCCTAAGGGCCAGAGTAATCACATTGGCCTCCGTATCACAGCTACTGGGGAAGACGGTGTCCTGCGTGCAAATTGTGCCATGGGCATACCTCCATGCCAGAGAATTACATGGCTTCTCCTTCCATTTCAGAGACTTGAACTCCCTTCAATGGTGGGACTCCCCGGCGCTGTCACGGGGAGCAGTATTAGAACCAGACAGGATTACCATTACCACAGATGCAAGCCTGTTTGGGTGGGGGCACACCTTCACACGCACTGGGCTCAAGGTCGGTGGTCCAAACAGGACCTAAGGAACAATATAAACTGGCTGGAACTCAGAGCCATACATATGGCCCTAAAGAGATTCACCGATATAGTACAGGGCCAACATGTCCTGATTTTAACCGACAACATTACAGCCAAGGCCCATGTCAACAGACAAGGGGGGACAAGGTCCAGGCCTCTCATGCAGGAGGCCAAATTGCTGGGGTCCTGGGCGGAACTGAATCTTCCCTCCATCAGGGCGGAGTACATATCCGGAGTGACCAACCAGCAGGCGGACTCACTGAGCAGAGCAACCGTGGATCATTCTGAATGGCAGCTGGATCCGAAGGTGTTCAGAGAGATCGTGGACAGGTTTGGTTCCCCAACCTTAGACCTTTTGCCTCCCCCACCAACTCACAACTTCCCAGATTCCTTTCTGGGTTCCCACCTCCATCAGCAGAGGGAACAGATGCACTCCGCAGTCCCTGGCCCAGGGAACTGCTCTGTGCCTTCCCTCCTCTGCCGTTTCTTCCTGCCACGATCAGGAAGATCCTTCGCGAACGAGCAGAGGTCCTCCTGGTTGCGCCGCATTGGCCGAGACGCTCTTGGTCGCCGACCTGATGGAGCTCTCCATATCACCTCCATGGAGGATCCCAGCAAATCGCATCTCCCACATTCAGGGGGAACTACACCATCCAGACCCTCAATGACTCCAGTTAACCGTCTGGCACTTGAGAGGCAGGCCTTAGGCTGAGACTCATATTCGTCAAGGGTCATAGCTATGATTCAGCAATCTAGGTGACCCTCGACGAATAGAATATACGATGCCACATGGAGAGACTCCTGTAATTGGTGTTCAGTTCGAAAAATTGACCTTTTGGCGGTTTCAATGCCAGTTATCTTGGAGTTCCTGAGGGATGGTCTAGACAAAGGGCTTTCCACAAGCACCATCCGTAGGCAGGTAGCATCACTTGCCACAGTTATTTCCTGTGGCAATGAATCCTTAACACATTACCCTATGATACGCTCCTTCCTAAAAGGAGCTAACAACGTCAGACCATCAACTGTACATAGATACCCCTCGTGGGATCTTCATCAGGTTTATAGGTTCTTGTTTCGCACCCTTTGAACTATTGACACTGGTTTGTTTAAACAGTTATCGATGAAGGTGGCATTTCTTGTTGCTGTAACTTCAGCGAGAAGGATATCTGAACTGGCTACTCTTCAGTGAGGAAGGACCTGTGTACATTCCATAAGGACAGGGTAACCCTTAGGCTAGGCCCCTCCTTCGTGCCTAAGGTCAAGTCCTTGTATCCTAAATCTCAGGAAATAGTTTTGCCGGACTTCTGTCCTAACCCATCTAATGAGATAGAGGTTCAGTGGAACAAATCGGATGTGCGCAGGGCTTATATTGTTATATACAGAGAACCTCATCTTTCCACAGAACAGAGGCTCTGTTTGTGTACTATCACCCTTCATCACTAGGTCAGAAGGTTTCTTCAACCACAATACGCAGGTGGATTAGAGTTTGTATTTCTCTGGCATACCAGTCTCAGTCACTGCGAGATCCCAGGCATATCACGGCCCATTCCACCGGGGGGCAGCTACTACAGCTGCCTCGTCTACTCAGGCCTCCGTAGAGGGAATTTGTAGAGCAGCAACATGGGCATCGCCCTCTTCCTTTGTCTGTCACTACAAGAGGGATATATATGCATCTTCTACGGCTTCATTTGGCCGCAGGGTCCTAGAACACGCATTAACATTGGGTGGGAACCAGGCCCAATCTAATTCCCCACCCTAGGGACACAGGGCTTTGGTATGTCCCATCCGTGGGTTCTCCATCCAATCATGCTGGAGAAAGGGGCGTTGTCTTACCTGAACGCCTTTTCTCAGCATGATGATGGAGAATCCACTCCCTCCCATTAGGTCAGTTGGCCTGGTCCCCATTTGTTCAGACGCGTCGGACTAAAGTCTGGGTATCGCCTTAGCCTAAAACTGGGGTGCAGTTGGCACAGAGGGGGCGGTACTAAATTTCAGACTTAGTCTAATTGGAGCAGATAGATTAAGACAACCCATCCGTGGATTCTCCATCATCATGCTGAGAAAAGGCGTTCAGGTAAGACAACGCCCCTTTCCACTCTCTTTTTTTGTCTTTTTTCCCTCTGAGTTCAGAAGAACTGTAAACATATAAATAGATATTAAGTAATTATTACTGAAAAGGGCAAGAATTGCATTCTTCAGTCAAGCTAGCAAAATATGTGACATGGCTAAAAACCAAAAGGAGGATACATCTAAGAGGGCCAAGATACTACGGCAGGCATCCAGGCTAAATCTCATCCCATAATTTTGATGATCTAGAGGAAAAAAAGAAAGAAATGAAAATGTATAACCACAATACAACCATATTCTCCATAGAAGAGTAGGGGCCTGAGTCAGTGGTGGGATTCAGCCAGTTTGCACAACTTTGGCAGAACCGGTAGCTAGTATTTTGTTGGCCAGGCCCAGAATGGACTTCCAGAAACAGCATCACACAGAGAACCGGTTGTTCACATATTTGAATCCCACCACTGGCCTGAGCCCATGTATCTTCAGTGTGAACATAAAAAGCGAATGAGCTGCTGCATAATACTAATCTGGGTTATTTAACCCTGATTTTGAATAAACCATAATTCCCAAGTTCACATATAAAACTAAAAGATAAACTATCCTGTTCTTCACAATGGTCCAGCAGTTACTTCTGAGAAGCCTCTCAAATAGATATAAAGGAAGTAACCCAGACATTTTCTCTCTCTCTCTCTCTCTCTCACACACACACACACACACACACACACACATACACACACACAAACATACATATTTTTAAATAATTTAATAAAAACTAATATAAAGTAAGAAGAAGCAAGAAGAAGAAAACAAAAAGAAATAAATCAAAGACAAAGCTAAAAATGCAGAGAGAAAAGTAAAAGAGAAAAGTAAAAGAGAAAGAAAAAAGACACAAAGAAGTAGCTTCTGATCTTTCTATTAGTTGCAACTACATTTATAGATTTACCTTTTACTTTATGGTTTCAATATAACTCTCTGCTTTCTATAATCTCTCCTGTCTAATCATAAAAACCACAATCATAGCTCATTTTTTTCTGTTTCATGCAAAAAATCCACAAGGGATTTCTAGTCAGCAAAAAATGTAGCTATTGTCTTCTATCTGATAAAAGAAATCAATTCCACCATCTAAGTTCCATCATTTTCACCAATCATTCATCCACTGTGGGTCATACCAAATCTTTCCACCATAGATGCAATAACTTTCTGATGCTCTTGCTCCCGCAGCAGCTATTTGTCAACAGAAGGCTACTTGAGACCCGTAAAGCTATCCTAAATATAATTATCTACTGAATGAACAAGCCTTCATTGGTATGTTTAATTCTCTTTAATTCATTCAATTTATCCTAAGGGTTCCAGCTTGGACATGGTTTTAGATCAATTGCCAAAATAATAATAATGATAATGGCTTTTTCATCTTGGGCTTTTTCATTTTGGCATCTTGGTAAAATGTTACTGCTGTTAATTTCTAGTTCCAAAGAAGTGTGCTTAGCAGGATGTCTAAATGACCTTGGGAAAAGTCACTAGTCTCTTTCTTTTCTGCTTGATTTGTCCCTTGTCTAACTATACCAGCTGAAATAGAACAGGAACATGGATAAATCTTGACAGTTGTGCGTTCTTTCTCCCTCCTGCCCTCTTTCTCTCTGCCTCTCTCAGACAGAATAAATAGGCAAGTTAAAAGCTAGACCCAAGCTGTCCTAGTGATACACGAATGACAAGAAATGAAACAGAAAGAGCATCTAATCTTGTTGCAAATCATGATTATAGATTGCCTGCAGACTTTTACCGAGCAGACGCCAAGCTCATAACTCACTGATCCCTTCTCTACAGAAACCAATGATGTTTTAATCTCATTATTGCCCTGTTTATTAAATATGAATCATGCACTGTAAAGTTTGGAAATGAAAGCTTTAAAATTGATTGCCTATGAAGAATAAAAGACGAGCTGCACAGCCTGGTTAGTTTCCTTATAGATTTCCCCATGCCTGATGGGTTACTTCGGAAAGATGTTCAAGAGCGATGAAATGGCTGTCTACTCTCACTCTTGGGGAAGCTAAAAAGACTGCCATGTCCTAAGGAGATGAAAGATTTGCTTCCACATCCCTGCTTTTGCTCTGAACTGATGCTACAAAAGCTTTTATCTCATTAACTTCTTGAACAGTTTTCGTTCTTATCCATTCAAGATTTTTCCATCCTATATATCTGTTATATTCACCAAATGCTATGTTTTTATAAACTTCATATTTCTGGCAGTAAAAAATAAAACAGGAGAGAGAGAAAAGATTTTAACCATTTTGCAGCCTACTGCTACTACAAGCTAGATTACCTAATTTTTCCCCAAATGCAATTAGAATTTAAAATATCAACCAACTAATAGAAAACTAGCAATTGGTTTAGTTCTTGGACAAAAGATGGCCCTCTGGAATCTGTAAAGAGTTTTGGACTGGATATAGACAGATTCTAAAATTTTTAAATCAATGTTTTTTTCCCTCCCTTTGGATTCGCAACAGTTCTGTTATGTACTACTCTTCTATTACTGCAATTATTTATTGTTGCTTGCTAAAGTTCAACAAAATAATGTCAGAAGAGATTGTATTTAATTGTATTAGACCAGCACATAAACAGCCTCAATTTATCAGAGGTTTTTAAAGATTTGTGTGATGAAGGAATCAAATAAACTGTAGCACATGAGCAAAAGATCATTCAGGAGTTAATTTCTTGGAAGTCTTTCTAAACCATTAAAATTAGACAAACTTCAAAAAATGTAAAATGTTTCTTTATTTAAAGTTTGGCTCTGGGTGTCATGTGATCTTGGTAAGGACCTGACAGACAAGATTACATGGCTGAAAGATTTAGGCATTCTCAAGTAGAATTTCACAAATATTTCATAATCATATATGAAACCTCATGCAGTTTCATGCAATACTACCAAAATCATATAGGCTTTTGAGATCTTGCAAGTTTTAGCATCTTACTTTAATAGGATGGGAATATTCCAGTAGGCACCCTGATATCCTTAAGTATTGCACTCCTGACTCCTGTCCTGTTTTAAAGAGGTTCATAATAAAGTACTACACTTGGACAATCTTCCAAAACAAATGATTTCATTTAAAACTTACATTTTCAGCTGATATTTTCCATTGTAATGGATGATGCTATTCTAAATTCAGATTCAGATTGAAGATATGAATCACTATCTTATGAATTGTTCCCTACTTGGTGGTATTAACGCTAAATTTATAAGGATGTGGAAACAATAGATTATTCATTAGCAGATTATTTTTACTGTTGTCAACAACAAAGAAAATAAGATGACTTTTCATTGGTATGCCGAAGGGACCTATTCTTTAAAATAATACAACATGTTTTCTTTTATTTAATCAAAGATAATGTGAAATGTTGGAGTTATTTTTGTTACAGTTTATAGAGCCAAGCTTGATTTGAGGGAGGCTTATTTTTTATACAATAGAAATGAAATACTAACATATGAAATGCACAAACATTTGCAATATAACGAAGACAAGCAATTGTAATAAAAACTGCAGCAGAAACCCAAATGTCTTTGGAAAGGACATAACATTTTGCACGCTTGCCAGCTTTCAAGTGCATAGACTTCAACTCTCAGAATCCTCTACAATGGCCATGCTTGGCTAAGGAATTCTGGATACTGAAGATCACACATTGAGAAGTTGTGACAGTTGGGTAAACTAATGTGCTATCATAAATTTAAAAGGAGCCAATAAGCCAGTCATGTAACAAGGTAAGGAAAGAAAAGAGACAGATAGATAATAATTAAGGTCTTAAACTAGGGCCTTGAAATCCCAGATCTACCTCCAATCCCACCAGAAATACTAATATATTCACTGGATTGTCCTTTTCAGTCTGCCCAGTTTACCTCACAGGTTTGTTGCTTGGGGAAAAAAACTAGAAGGGAGTATTTGACATGCTACCTTGAACTCATTGAGGAAGACTAGGGTGTAAACTTAAATAAATTACCATGGAAACAGAATGCATTTGGATCCATTGGCTTTCAACAAGCAAAGTAAATGGGGAAAGTCGGATTCACTTCCAACAAATCATGTGATTTCCATAACCACCAAGGCAAAAAAAAAAAATTGGTACACTTAATGACGAAATTGCTTACTAATGAAAATCCTGGTGCCAATTGTGGTCATAAGTCAAGGATTACCTATATGAAGATCTGTAGTTTAGTTGGAAATGGATTTTCCTAACACTATGAATGCATTTGCATACAGGAACTGTCGCTAATTTGCAGCCCTTCTCCCATAAAGAAGACATAATCACTAAACTTGCACTACATGAGTATGAGTTCACTCGCATTAAAAAAATAGTCTTATTAAGAGTATATAAATGTTGCAGTTTAGACATCTGTAACATGAGACCCTGTGTTATAAAGGATGAAGGGGAAATTAAATCCCATTCTCTTTTAAAAGCCTGTGAGACTAACCTATATATTTATTGATTTAAAATATTTTGCCTACTTTCCTACTTAAAAAGCTCTTAAAGCATTTAAAATACTTAAAATATGGATGAGTGGAAAGTGTACTGCTTGCATCACTCATAGATTTCATGTAAGTATGTATGAAAATGTGCATAAAATGTGTATAAAATGTGTATAAAATACTGAGTTTTAGAATCCCATACCAGACATACTTGCCATGTTGTTTAGGATCCTTTGCAGCTGCACTACGTTTATTTCAGGATACTAAAGCAGGGGAGGCAAAATTATAGAAAATCCAGTGATTAACATCTTTACATCTAAAGTTACTAATGGGGAAGGAAAGATACACAATTGCCCTGTTATCTTTTTTTTTTTAATGGAAACCTGAGTTTTCAAAAAAAAATCCATTTTGAATTATGTCAAAGCAATGAAAGATAATGCTTTATCATTCTCAATTTAATTAAAATTAATTTTGTCCCATCTTTCCTCCATTTATTAGACAATGATATATTAAAAATATTATTCTGTTCAAGCATATACAAACTGTCTTGTGTTAGATATACTATGTCTGGACTGCAGAAATACCAAAGCTTCAGATTCTCTGTACTGCTACTGTCCTCTATTGGTCCTATAGATTTTAGTCTATTTATACCAAGCAAGACCATTGATCTATCTGTTGCTGTACTTTCAGCAAGAATTAGCTATGCCTGTCTGGATTTCGGGTCCACCAAGCAATACTCAACTTGGAGTTTGGACCTGACATCTTCAACATCCCAATATGTGCTGCTAGATGGGATGTTCCATTTATGACATTCTGGACCCAGTGATTACATCATGCAGTTAAGGGATACTAACATTTGACACTGGAGAAGAACTTTTTTTCTATTGGACATTGATGATTGAATCTTCAAGAATTTAATTATCAGCAAGGAGGTGGTTTATACTTCAGGCTAAGCGATTGGTTTATTAATCATGGTTAGATTCACCAAAATTGCTCGGTTTCATGCAACACACTAAGCACAAATCCATGGTTTATAAAACATAAGGGCTGAGTTCACATAGCAGAGAAAACTCACACAAACCATTTTATGGTTTAGTTTGCTGTGTGAACCCAATTATTGTATATTTCCTTTAATTGATAGTTACACACCAACTGACAAATGCCAAGTGGAAAACCCATAATTTTTCTGAGGAACTGTTTTTGGTCAAGCATGTTCAGAAAAAGTACTCAGATGTACCAGAAAGGGATACTCACTTGATCAAAATACTTAGAGAAGAATTCTTTGCAATCTTCATGTTTATCAACTATTTCCTATAAAGAATAAAACAAAAATTAAAAAGATGGATGGGGGAAATCTGTCCAATTTTTCAGGATGTACCAATATGTGATTTATAGAGTATAGAACAGTGATGGCGAACTTTTTAGAGACCGAGTGCCCAAAAACTGCCCCGCCCCCAGCCTGCCCCCACTCCACCCACCCACCCCCACCCTGCTCCATCCTCATTCTGCCCATTCTCCGGGCCATCCACAGCCCACCGCAGATCACCCAGGCAGCCCTGCAGCACCACGATGGCCACGCCCTCTGTTCGCGCCCTGCAGCATCATCAGCATCAGCTACAAGGCACACCCTGCCATACATCAAAAACATTTTGGAAGCAATAGAACGCAACTTCCAATATCTGCAAATAGGCATCATACTCTGCCCAGAGGCTACCATACAAAGACAAATTATGCATTGTAATGCTTGGAGATGAGAGATACTTCCAATGTAATCTACTAGATCCCCTGCATGGATTGCCCCTGTGACTGTATAGTGGAGAGAAAGCTAAGCACCAGATTACAAGAAGACAAGTGAGCAATCAGGCAAAGAGACAGAACTCATTGGTAGCCTCACATTGCAATGAACAAGGACATACATTCATTTTTGCAGTAACTAAGATTGTTGGACAAGCAGATACAAAAACAGCTAGGGAAGTGATTGAAGCCTGGGAAACAGGAGTGCTGATTTACCACCAACTTATCAAGTACTTAGGAGGAAAGGCTTAGCAGCACACAGAAACAACAGCCAATGACTTAATAGCTGGCCATCAACACCCCGATCAACAACTAAAAAGCCACATACAACCAGGCACCATATAAATACCACACAGAATAGTCCAAAACACACACTCTGCTAGAGAGAAGTTCCCTAAGGATGAGCTCCAACATGAATCCGAAAGCTTGGAAGACTAAACCTCTGATCCCAGTGACTGACCCAGATTGGATCCGGCAACATTATCTTGGGACCTGCATATTCACTTTCACTCAAGAATAGACTTTCCCTACAAGTTACTGTCAGCAACCTGTATCTCAACTTATTTATTAGATTTATAGCCAATCTTTGCTCAAGAATCCAAGGCAGTATATATACTACTCCCTCTTCCATTTTTCCCTACAACTACAATGTGTGAATTTGGGCTAGTAGTTGGCCCCAAGTTAAGCTAATATAACTTTTATTGTCATTTTCTACTGTGGGCATACTGGCACACATTAAAAATGAAATTCTGTTGCCTGCTCTCAAAAGTGTACACATGCATAAAACCCATATAAACATGCTATATACAACATATGTATATAACCAGTCAGTTTCCATGGCTAAAGATTGGCTTGAACCTGGGTCTTTGTGGTCCAAGGCCAAAATCTTAATCACTATATGACACTGACTCCCCAGTTCTAATCATGTATGTATACAATGTAAAGCCTCAGAATCTGGAAGAATCAAAAACCATCCTGCCCTAGAGACGTTATTGATTCTCCATAAATGTGTTTAAGGTCATGAGATAGCCATCTAAGTCTACAACATCATTACATTTGTGTCTCCCAACTAAACTGTTAAATTGTTAAACTGTGTGCTGTATAGAGGACATAAAAAAACTTTAGCATCACCTTAATCACTTTATTTGCCATCTGCAATTCATAGATAGCAATTGTCTCAATGATCCATACAATATCTTCAGCCTCTTAAAATTCCCCTTTCCTGAACTTTGGCAACAAATGCAGCTGATTTTCTTTTTTAGGTGAGCCTCTTAGCTTCCAAAGGCTCCCCACTCTTTGGCAGATTTTAATGTTGAAACAGATGAACAGAGACATTGACTTAAACCTCAAGGTCAAAATCACTAGGTTTAAACAGCCTCATAGCCTCTTGAAACTTGGACAGAAAGCAAGCTAGCAGCCTTTCACAGTTCTTTTAAAACTGAGATTAAATGATGCTATTCTTAATAGCTGTCTATTTATCTATTCTACCTTAGCCTCAGCTTAGTAAGAGACAGTGCATGTGTTTTGGGTCCCTGTGGCATTTAGCTAGTGAGTTCTCAAGATTTTCTTTCTTGATCAGCTATTATGGTTTAAGTCAAAAGAAATATTCACTGCACATGAGTGATGAAGGAGAGATCTTCTGTTGCCATTTCCACATTATGAAGTACTATGAGTTATATTTCCTTTGCTTTCTGCTACCCTTTAAAAGCACACAGCAAGGATGGCTCAATCACTCCTACTTTTTCTCTAATTTTTATTCTGACATTCAGGTGTCACGACTGACAATCAGAATCCATTTGTAAATTTAGCTCACTGATGGCCTCATCCCCATTCAGGTTATGTCTCTGAGAGCACTTAAGCAGAAAAGAACAAGAGATCAAAACAAAATAGTAGCTATACAGCATGGTTCCTAATCACATCTCACCTTCGAAAGGACACAGCTGGAGTCTCCACCCAATTCACTTTAAAAAGAAAGAAACCGCCATGAATGTTAGAATAATGAAGTGAGTATTGTGATTTATCTAGACTGAGATCTTCAAGCTAGCTGTTATTTTATCTTGCTTAAAAGTATATTTTAGATGTTTAAACTTTAATAAAAGTTATTATTAAAAAAACTATTACACAAAATCCACAAATCTGGAGGACATGATATTCTAAGTTTTGGCTTCTCTGTAATTTGACCTTGCTTGGAGACAGTACAATTAATAGCACCCATCTGTCTCTGACTGGAAATGGAAGACCTCCCAAGAAATTACTATCAGAGAGAAACTTTCATATATCCTCTTCTTTTCATACATATCCTAAAAGCATACTTTTTATAGTGAAATTCACTATAAGAAGTCCTTTTTTAAACTAAACATAGACAGTACATACACATTGACAAATGCCATTTGTTTTCTTTTTCTCTTTCTGTGCAGAAACCTATACAACAACATCTTTAGTGAAAAGAGAGTTTAATTTTGGCCCTCCATTTCACCAAGAGAAGGTCTTGAACAGGATTCTTAAGAGCTGCTGCTTCTTCTGCCATCTTGATGGAGACAGTACTGGAGTCAAGAGCATGAGGTAATTAATTTGTGGATTCTCTTCTGTCTTTCCTTGGACAATCATAGTAATGGCATAAGTAAGAAATTGAGAGTGCGGTATGGGAGGAAAATCAAGGAGAGACATCACCAACCTGAGGTCACATAGCAGGCTGCATGAGTGATTTTTAAGACTCACAAATGATGGAGAACTTTTAGGTTGCCCATGCAGCTGATTCAGACGAGCAGTAACAGAAGCCTGATTGGGGTAGATCAGCAAATCTTTCTGACACCCTCCTCCCAATTTTCTGGTGAAGTGAAGAAAGCTTTGGATAACCACAGTGGATTGTGTCTCAAAGGATTGTGAGTTCCCTTGTTACTTTAAACCAATTTCTCATCTTGGAAATCTTTTACTTATATAGCATCCGCATCCAGATGGCAAACCTCTATAAAATACAGAGTATTTCATACAGGCCTGAAATCTGCACCGAAAGATCTACTGGTTACCTAATTACCAACCTCAATGTGCCTGGTACTTCATAGCATGCTAAATTATGAATGTGGTGAAAAAGGAGAGAAAGGGGAACAGAACTGCACAGGGAGGCACAGAAGTTTTGTTGGTGGAATTAGAATGGGAAATCTGGGTGTTAGGATGGTCTTTGCAAACTAAGAAAGGAGCTCTTACCGCAAGCTGTGCCTTCTGGAGAAGACTCGCAAGATGAACTCCGACTCCTGATGAGGTTCCAAAGTAGAGGGAACCACCACATACATCCCAGGAGAGAGGCGGAAATCCTGAGTCACTTCCCGATTATTCACAAAGAGCGATTGACCCAAACGTGCGTTCCAAATGAAGAAAGAAGGAGGCAGCTTTTTATTGTTATCACAGAACTAAAAAAATAAAACAACAAAATAAATTAAGAGCGTTTCTTGTGATGACTGAGAATTTTTTTTTAAAAAATAGAAGGGACGTTAATGGTTTACACGTTCATGCTGCTCACAATATTGGCTCAGGCTCTGGGAACAAATATACATACCATCCTGTCCTGTATTAAAAACAGATGGTGGAAATCATTTCTAGATATTTCTAAATGAAATGCAACACTAAAAACCATACTGGAATATTTAAAAAAAAATAATACCTGCAGGGGTGGCAGATTTTCACTGGGGATGGGTCAGGTTTTCCTCCTTCTCCTGACACTTTTTGCCAAGCTACTCCCTATAACTAGAATATTAGTCAATTCAGCCTCCCCACCAATAATATTCCAAAATGCATATTGCATGTTTTAATAGAAATTAAACCTTTATGGCCAAACCAACAAATATTTGAACCATTTTACTCATCTCCCCATGTTATTCTTTCCTCAGTTTCATTTCCTTCCCTTTTGCCCTATGCTTTCTTTGGGTACAGTTTTAGGCCCTCTGAACAATCATTTCAGAACAGCTTCCAAGAGACCCTTCAAGACCTTGAGAGACAGGACTTGGAGAAAGTTGAATCTATTTGAACTGGCTAGACAGGCAGATAAATACAAGAGAAGGTGATCCATCAGATCAGGTCTGGAGCCTCTAGGTCTTTAAAGAGGGACAACTGGCATATTGAATGGCATCTAGAAGCTGAATGGCAGCTAATGCAGTTCATAAAGTATGAGTAAGATATTCACAAAGTAAGTTCACCTAACTATATCAGGATATATGCATCATCATTGCTGAAGCGGCTGCATTTGTACCACGTCTAGTTTGCATATTCTGCTTGAGCATACATCATGTCTGATGCCTGATTGCAATTGGAGCACCAGAAAGAAACCTGCCAATTATTCGATACTATGTCTATTATGGTCAGGAACATGCAAGAGACAGTTTGGTGTAGTAATTAAACTAGAAACAGAGATGTGAGTTCTAGTCCCACCTTAGGCACAAAGCCAGCTGGCTGGCCTTGGGCCAGTTACTCTCTCTCAGTCATAGGAAGGAAGCAATGGCAAACTTTTGAAAAAACTTGCCAAAAAACCCACAAGGACTTGTCCAGGCACTCTCTGAGAATCAGACACAAGTGAACAGAAGAAGAAAAAACATGCAATAATAGGGCAATTCAATTGTTTTCAAAATTGTATTTAGCTTCATTTTTGTATTACCCTGAAACCCAAGAATACACCAACACTATATTCTTTATACTGTTCCTGTTCTTGTTTTTCCATAAAAGCTCCCTTAATCTTAACCAGACTTACTTCTGTGTAAGCATGCTTAGAATTACAACTGTAGATATACTTCGAGCACTTCCACTATTATAATGTGACCATGAAGAAAAACTTGCCCTTTTATTAGGCCTTTCTATCACCAACAACTAAATAGAATACTCAGCACAGAAAGACTATCAATAATTACATTGGCTAAGAAAAATGGAGCCTCCCGGAGCCAGCCATACCTCACAATGACTCTGACATTTTACTCTCCAATGGACTTTGTTACCACAAGAGCATTTGCAGAGCAACTTTTGCACTCTCGCTCACTCTTGTTGTATTTCTCTCTTGCTAATGGAGCAATTTATCATCTGCTAAGAGGGTGGGGTTGCCCCTTAGAATGCATCATATATTAAATGCAAAGCATTTATGCTTTGGTCAATGCTGTGATTCATTGTATTTCCAATTTTAAAACTGCTCTTGGTTTTGTACTTCACTATATTAATCTTGATGTTCAATACATGCCTGAAATTACCTCTTAGCAGTCTCCAGCTCCAAGCTTCAGTGAGTTTAAATGGTAAAGTGCTGTCTCCCAATTGGTCCAAAGCACCACATGAAAGACAAATAGATTTGATTTCCCTGCTCTAACCAGATAATATAGCTAGCCACCCCCTATAGCCTTAAGAGTTCCCTATGGGAAGCAATGACAGCCTGACAGGTTTCACAGCAACACAACCTGTAGAGTTTAGCTTTTAAAGCACAAAAGCCTGGTGGGTTCACTCAGGAACAGAATATTCTCATTAAATCTGAAGTAAAATTTCAGAACATTTAGTTGTCAGAATTTGAATTTGTGTATTTCTCTCAAACCTTAATAAAATTTGAGTGCTTTTGACAAGTTGGACAATCTCTTCGGGATTTAAGTTTTGTCATGCATTAAATGTAAGCTCATTTAAGGGATACTGTAGTCAGTAAACTGGAATTAATTTAAAAAGTCTATCCAACTTGCTGCAGGTTGTTCTCTATTTTTCCATTTCCCTACCTTTATGGCCTTCAAGAAGCTGAAAACCTGGTCACAATGTATGACAAATGTAATAGTTTGGTCATTAAGTAAGGACTCTGATTGCCTTGCTCTATGATCCATTTGTTTATTTTTATTGTTATCCATGGTATTCCCAAGAGTCTCTTCTATCACCAAACTTCAAAAATGTCATTGCTCTTTCTATTTGCATCTTCAAAGTTCAATTTTCCTTAATTCCACAGAATACCACAGGAAAAAATGTTGTCTGGACAATTTGATTCTTTTTAGTTAGTGACTTGTCACTGTATCTTTTCCATGCCCTTCATTGCTGTCCTACTAAGTGCTGGTTTGCAGCATACTTCATGATTACTGATTCCCTTATTATTGATGGTCAATCCTACATCATCTCACATGATCTAGAGTCATGTATGAATGACTCTATAAATATATATAAATAAAATAAGGCAAAAATGTAGAGGAAATAGGCAGTGACTTTGAAGGACAGAAGAAAGAGCAGCAACAAAGGCAACAGTCAGATAAGAGGGTGGAGCCTGGACCAAGAAATTAGTTAAACATCTCAAGCAGGCTCTCCCTAGCACACACTAAAGTAAAGTGAAGGAGAGGGAAGCACAATCAGATCTGCAAGATTTTGTTACTATGGCTGTTACAATAATGTATGGCAACAAACATATGGCAACAGTTTTTTTAGTCTGGTCTACCATTGTTAGGCTGTCATCAATCTTAATCTTTATTCCAATGGAATACACTCATTAGAGGATTTCATATGACACCTATTTGTAGTCTTTTCATTGCTAGATGGAAATATAATATACCCATGGATTTTAGTTACTTACTAGGCAATTCATAACCCATTGGGTCATCATTTCAGAGATATTTCCTTGCCTAAATAGACAAACAGAATGACCATAGTCAGGCCAAAAACAGTGGAAATGGGAATGATCTTTGACTTCCTGCTGACTTATTCATTGACTTTCCTTCCTGCCAGGTAGCTGGTAGAGAGTGTTAGAAATTATTATATGACCACAGCTGACCATGACAATGCAGAGGCACTAAACCACAACTCTGACAAATTTCAGTCCCATGGGTTCCATATTTGTGATGCATTCTTTAAGCTAGTCCATCTGAAATATATTGATTCAATGATTCACTGTTTCACCCAACGGAAGGTTACAAATAGACAAGGAGAGTTTCAGTAATACATAGATTTGTTTTATGGATTTCATCTTGGCACTAATGCACTCCCTTTTTTATGTTTACAAACTAGTCTCAGGCTACCTTAGTAATAGTTTTATACCATTTATGACTTGATTTGATGCTGATTTCGTTAGCTTTATGTTGATTATGTTATTCTACTTGTATTGTTCTAAACAACAAAGATTTTGCTTCCTCAACACTCTTAGGCTTATTTTGTAGATTTTGGGCTGCTAATCATGGAAATAACCTGTGATTTAACCTATCACATGCTGTTTTATAGAAGTCTTCTTACACAATGGCAATGAACACCATTCAGTATCAGTTAGGTATGCTGCATACATGAAAGAAACATACAAAAACATGGAACTGGTGTTGAAGCACACCCAGTACGCCAAATACAACTGGAATATCTGTGCATATCTAAAAGTTATACCCAGTGCAGCTTGGGTATAACTAAGTACTGTTTTACATACGTGAATGGGATAGCTGTATACGGGAGTTGCATTGTATTAAAAAGAAGTGGCCGCTTTGAAAGAATTTGGTTCCAGGACAGAAAAACATGGTACATGTTTCATGTTGCCCAATAAAATATATTTTTGTCTCTATTTCACATAAAACTTAAACTAATGAAAAATTTTGTGAGAGCGATGAACAAGGAAACTGAAGGTTTTCATTATTTAAAGACAGATGTTTCCAAGAATAACTCATGCCAAGATTAAGGAAGGCATTTTTGTTGGTCCACAAATCAGATACATTATCAATGACAGGTGCTTCGAAGATCTGCTTGTGAAGTCAGACAAAAACACCTAGCAAGCATTCAAGAATGCTGAGAATTTTCTTGGCAACTACAGAGTACCAAACTGCATTTAGCTGGTTGACAAACTTCTTACAGCATACAAATCCATGAAGTGCAACACATCACCAAAGATTCATTTTCTGCATTCATACTTGGATTTTTTTTCCCCTGAAAATCTAATTGCAATCAGTGACAGGCATGGTGAAAGGTTTTGCCAGCATATTGCCACAATGGGAAAACAGTATCAGGGCAACTGGATTCTATCAGTGCTGGATAACTATTCTTGCACATTGCAGTGAGATGCATCAGACACTGAGTACAAACAAAAATCAGCAGCAAAACACTTTTAGTCCTCCTGAACTCATGCAGTATGTCAGAAACATAATGCAATTAAATACATTCTAGTTATTAAAAGTTAGTTTCATATTTCTCAAGATTCTTGTGTGCTATTGTCATTCTGAAATTATAATTCTATTCTGTTTGAAGGCGTCTATCATAATTACCAAACAGAAAGCAAAACATTTGGGGAAAACAAATCTTGTCCAGTGTATTGATTTAAAACATACAACTGTCCAGAACATGTTATTCATTCGTGAATCATTAGCCTGGATCTATACAAGTAATCCTCAATTTATGATCACTCACTTAGTGACTGTTCAATGTTATGACAGATACACACACACGGAGGCTACTTATGTCCCAGTTTTGAAATTAAAGTCATTGCAGTGCCCCTGCAGTCATTTGCCCATACAACCAACTGTAGGGATGTTGTAGTGCCCCCTCCCAGTTATCTCTTCCTGCCCCACTGGGTCTTCACAAGCCTTGGGCCAGCTACCCCCTTTGGGTCCCTGTGGGACTTGGGCTGCTAAATAGAGGTGCTGTGCTCACACTCTCACATATGCTGAACATCCTTTTCCAAACCATTTTCAAAAGCACGTGTAGCCACATGAAAATGGACTTGAATTGTAAATGAAAATGTGTGCACATTTACATTAATGCTTGGATTTGTAAAACAAATAGGTTGGGAAAAAATACAGACATTATAAATTTGGTTATAATCTGAATGTGGTTCAGATTAGTTTTTGATAGTATCTAAAAATAATATTAGGGGAAAGTGGAGCTAAAAGAATTCTTGAACAAAAATGAAAACATGAAAAAAATATTAAGATATTAGATTTCAACTCTCCCAGAATTCACCAAACTACAGGGACTTCACTAAGAATCCAGAGAGATAGAAATCAAATGTTAGAGAATCTTCAGGTTTGAAAAAGCTGTTCTACTGAACAGTAGCATCTAATCTCTTCTTGAAAGCAGCACTTTCCCATCCCAAAATACATTTATTAAATTTGAAAAACTCAACATATTTGAGATGAAGTATCTCTAAACTATTATTTAAGGCTGGCTATATGCAGTGGAGAAAAATGCTTATATCGATTTAGTGGCATCTACAAGTAATTTCCACAAATCAGCCAAAAAGTTGGTTGAATGTCTCCCAGGAATATATAATTATTAGAGGCAGAAGCGAAAAGAAAAGAAAGGAGAAAAATGTAATAAAATCATTTCTCACTCAACCTTGCCTACTGCTTCTGGGCATATCCCAGGAACATTGCCATTAATCCTTAATTAAGCCATAAAAGTGCATTATCTTGAAATGTATTCAATCACTTTGGCATTAACAGTCATTTTTTTTCTAATTTCCTTAAGAAGCTTATCTAAAATAAGAACAAGGAGTACTTGAATGCCATATCCAAACACTCACATTGGACAGTGTTCAGATCTGGAAAAGCCAAAAAAATGATCAAGATTGTGAACAAGTTCAATAATAATTTCTAGCAAACAAATTATTAAGATTTCAATCTGAATATTTCAGCTCTTGAAAGCAATATATTTCAACATTTTCACATAAAGACCTATAAGTATTTTATGATATATGATACTTAAAGTAAATCCATTGCAATCACTGAGACATGTTCTTCATTACTAATTTAAGTATATTGCATTTCAGACTGTCTACTTTCAACATCATGTCTCCAACATTCAGGCTTTGAATAAATGAAAATCATATTCACAGCAGAAAGTCAGTTTTGCTGCACTCATTGAGGTTAGCTGCACAATTTCTACTTAATCTTAATTCAGTAAGAGAGCAGGGGAAAGTAATTTATACAACTATGATTGTATAACTATGCCCCCCCCCTCAAAAAAAGATGAAAAGTTTCTACATACCTCCTGGTCCACCTAGAAGGAAGAGAAAGGACATGTGTCAACAAGTACGCATCAAGACATTTAAAAATGAAAATTGTTAAGTGGTGGAACCAGTCAGAACATGAAAGCACTAAACTCAACAACCAGAATCTCTACCATTGTTGATTAAATTTTTGCAGGGAGGATTGTGCAGGCCTACTTTGCCTTTAAAACTTTTTCTACCTTTTTTAAAGTATATGTCAATGCTGCTAACATCGGATGTTCTTGCTTGACAATATATGAAGATGCAGACATTTTTTATTTAATCTGTGTATTACTTTTAGAGTTAAAATTAGATGGTGCTGGAAGGGAGGGGGGAAGAATGTGCTTGGGGACTAGTTAGCCATAACAATATCTCAGTAGAGTATTCTTCAAGGTTAGTTGTAATAAGAGAAGATAACGGGAGGGAAAGTTCACACTTCAAACTAATTAGAGAATGTGATTAATGACTATTAAATGAAGGAGTGAGTTATGCTTTGTTACTGTGAGTCTGGAGGAGAAGAATTCAGATTTTGGGTTCTCTATGTACTTGCCGAAGCTATGTTGCAAATTAAAGATTCTTTAAGGTAAACAATGCCTCAAAGTTCTTTGAAGAGCTTCTTCCTCCGGAACCATGACAATATACAAGAAATTACACTGAATATAGTAGAAAATGTTGGTGTGTTTCTAAAGGAATTATCGAATCAGGAATGGTTTTGATTGCTATGCAAAATGTGGGTGTAGGATCTTATCTATATTTTCCTTACATCAGGGGTTCTCAATCTTGGCAACTTTAAGACTTGTGGACTTCAACTCCCAGAATTCCTCAGCCAGCTTTGCTGGCTGAGGAATTCTGGGAGTTGAAGTCCACAAGTCTTAAAGTTGCCAAGGTTAAGAACCCTTGCCTTACATGATATTCTTTCTCCTTTTCTCTGCCTCTAATTGATAATCTCTGTTCATCTTGATTTAATAACAATTTCTCTAAGGCTAAATATTTTTAACATGTTATTACAAGTTCTAACGACAACAAGAAAATATAAATACAAACTAGAAAGCAAAAGAATAAAAGATTCAAACAAAGAAAAAAACATGACTAAATATTCTGTTCCATCTTGGTTGGTTAAGATCACGGTCCCATACTGGAAAAGAAGTTGATGATTAAAGTATTTGCTTGGCAAAGCTAAGGAGCTTCCTTCTCTTCATCTTGAGCAATTCAAACCCACATTTAAACACAATTCTCTTTACCTTATAGAGTGATAAGCCTATGTGCAAATGAGGGACTCGATTCCGATGTTTGCCACTGTGTTTTTGGATAAGAGACACCAGCACACTGCAGGAGTATAAAGATCTTTTGCTTCCATTGCCTTGCAAAACTTTCAACAAGTATTGGGGATTTGTCCAAAATGAGCCTGAGAGAAGAAAGGGCAAAAATTCCAGCCTCAGTCCCCAGAATGTCATTCTGTACCTAGTTGTGAAATTAACATGAAGAGACTGCTAACAGAAAAAAAAAATCCACAAAAATGGAATAGAGCTAACATTAAGAAAAATGTCACATAGACTATAAACTGTTTTATTGATCTAGCTGGTCTGGTTTAAAATAAGCAAGCAAGAAAAATATCTTCCAAGGTAAGAGTGTATACATTAAAAGAACTAAATGTCTTCCTTAGCAGTTATATAGATCTCTATATAGTTATATAGAGAATGTTATCCATCTGGTACTCCCAAAATATTTTGCACTGCAACTCCCATTTGCCTTAACGAACACAACCAAATCATGAATAAAAGAAGCTGCAGGCCAAAATGCTTGGAAGGATCAAAACACTTTGAGGAAGACTGTGGCTATTTCCATATGGCTTCATTTATACTTTCCAATTGTTCTAAATCCTTTTTGAAGCTGGCTCTTTGATCATCTTCCTCACTACAGACATTGGAACACACAATGAACAGTGAATACTATGATACCTTTAGCTTATTAATAGGAGAATGCGTATACTATTACCCTATCAATGCCCTCCACCATCTACTCTAGGTCCTACAACAACACGTGAAACATACAACTGATATAAAAAAAGAAATTAAATAATTGTTACCTTTCCTACAAATTCATATTTTTAGAAAATAGTGTGTAGCAATTTTTATCTTCTGGACTGGCTCCAGGATTGGGAATGAGGGAGGGGACATTTTATAATGCTTCTCTTTGTTCCTTCAGGGCTGGTTTTAGTTGGTATTAGATAGAAGAGATTGATCACTCCCGGTTCTCAACTCCTCCTTTACGGGTTGCCACAAAGATTGATTCTCTCCCACTCTTATTCAACAAGTATGTGAAACTGCTAGATAAGTTTATCCAGGACTTTGGAGTTTTGTACCATCCATATGTGATGATACCCAATTAGATCCTTCAGCCCCAGGCCATCTTGGCCCAGCACCTTGAGTCTGAGTGGATCTAGATGTGATGGAAGACTTTGATTTACTCTTACCAAGACTGCGTATCTATAGTTATTGGGGCCACTTAATTTAGGGAAATATTCTATTTTTGGCTTTGGAGGGGATTGCATGTCCCCATTCAAAAGTAGTGCCCAACTTGGGGCTTTCATGGATTTACATGTTTGATGGACATGTGGCAACTATGATGTGGAAATTGCACCCTTTTCTCAGATGGGAAGGTATTCAGACAGACATTCATGCCCTAAACACAGCTTGAATATTACATTGGAGACTGCCACTGAATACCACTCAGAAATTTCAATTGGTCTAGAATGCAATGGCATTTCAGCAATGGGCATGCCTTGCTGTGTGTATGTGACATCTGTTCTCTGCAAGCTACACTAGGTGTGACTCAAAGTACTGGCTATGATGTGTAAAGCCTTATACAGCATAAACCTTGGTTATTTGAATGAAATTCAATGGTGAAAAAAGCAAGGTTCTACATTTAGGCAAGAAAAACCAAATGCACAAGTACAGCATAGGTGGCACCATGCTCAATAGTAGTAACTGTGAGAGGGACCTCGGAGTCCTAGTAGACAATCACTTAAATATGAGCCAGCAGTGTGCTGCAGCTGCCAAAAAGGCCAACACAGTGCTAGGCTGCATTAGCAGAGGGATAGAATCAAGATCACGTGAAGTATTAATACCACTCTTCAATGCCTTGGTAAGGCCACACTTGGAATACTGCATCCAGTTTTGGTCACCACGATGTAAAAAAGATGTTGAGACTCTAGAAAGAGTAAAGAGAAGAGCAACAAAGATGATTAGGGGACTGGAGGCTAAAACATATAAGGAACGGTTGCGAGAATTGGGTATGTCTAGTTTAACGAAGAGAAGGACAAGGGGGACATGATAGCAGTATTCCAATATCTCAGGGGCTGCCATAAAGAAGAGGGAAGTAAGCTATTTTCCAAAGCACCTGAAGGCAGGACAAGAAGCAACGGGTGGAAACTCATCAAGGAGAGAAGCAACCTAGAACTAAGGAGAAACTTCCTGACATTGAGAACAATTAATCAGTGGAACAGCTTGCCTCCAGAAGCAGTAAATGCTCCAACACTGGAAGTTTTTAAGAAGAGCCTGGACAGCCATTTGTCCGAAATGGTGTAGGGTTTCCTGCCCGAGCAGGGGGTTGGACTAGATGACCTCCAAGGTCCCTTCCAACTTTACTATTATTATTATTATTATTATTTGAGATGGCATCTGTCCAGATAATTCAAGATGACAAGCTTGACACATTTCGAGTTAAGCCATGCCATGTATCAGCACCCAAGAAGTGCTCCTTCTCTGCCACAGTGGTTGTTCTCTGGCATAAAGTTCCCACTGAGGCTCAGATGGCTCCAATCCTGTTGATGTTCTGGAGGCCATAAAGACCTGCTTGTTCTCCCAGACTGTGGGATTCGGTGGCTAGAGCCCCCTCTGCTGGATTGTTTATTGCTTCTTATTAGTGCATATTGTTTTTATATTGTCTGGGGTATTGTGGTTTGCCCAAAGTCGTTTGGAGTAAAATGGCATCAAACTGAGTAATAACAACAATACCCATCAAGATAAAACAGAATTGGGTTTGGAGTCACTGGTTTTGGAACAACAAACGCATAAAGTAGTTGCTTTGCCATCCCACACCGAAAGACCAAGAAATAACCTGGCACTTTGTGTTTTTTCCTCTGCTTAAGAGGAGGAGGAGGAAATAATGAAAACTCTTGTCAGCTTCACCCAGTTCCTTTGTCCTGGTTACTGTGGAGGTTAAATATGTATACTTGGAATATTCTGCAGAATCCATAATAGAATAAAGTGATTTGGGGCTACATTGGGATGGTTGAGTAATTGCAGTAAAAGAGAACCTGTGGAGTTTTCAAGCCACCTTCCCCTTTAAGAGACTCCAAACAAATTATAATTAGTCCTCACTTAGCAACCACTCATTTGAAGTTACAATTGAAGGCACTGAATGAGGAGGACTTTGTACATCTCATCCTCAAAGTTGCAGTTATTGCAGTGTCCCTGAGGTCATGTGATTTCCACAGGTGAACTTCTCTGCCCACTTCCCACAAGAAAAGTAAATAGGAAAGTGGGCAGGAAGTAAAAAATCCTGGTCACTTGCTTAGTGAGGTCCTGCGATCCTTGCTTAACAATCACAACAGGGACTGCCAGGATTGCTGTTGCTAAGCAATGCAGTCACATGACATCATACTTTATGACCCCCATCACTTAGCAATGGACATTGTGGTCCCAATCACCATTGTTCAGCATAGGCTATCTGCAATACTTCTGAAGGCAGTTTATATTCTTATCAGTTCCTGCTTGTGGGGAAATTGCCCACCAAGTCTGCAAAGGGAAAAATTCACTTTTTTGCAATTTCACATATAAGCTGATGCGCATGCTGAAGCAGATCGTTATCCAACAGAAATAATTTAAGAAGAATTCTTCAGCTAGAGTTAACTCAGCATTTTGATATCAGAGCATTCACTATTATATGTTTGTCTTCAAGTTGCTCTATAGACATTATTAAAAGAGAACAGATGCACAGCTCCTTAAACCCAGGCATTATTTTCCAAACCTCGTCTCCCCAGGAAGTCTCACCTCTGAAGTTCTTCAATCTGCCACCTGCTGTGCTTCCTTTGATCCATTTGCCAAACTGCATGGAGCATGTCCACTTCTTCCCATCTTCCTGACTCATGAGATCTGGAGTTAATTTACAGATCACCAGATCCATAAAATGAATTTTCAAGTCTTCCAGTGACATCCTATGATTAAAATTTAAAAAAAAAAACTCCTTGTTTTATGAGTACACTGGTAAACCAGGAGCAGGGCTTTGATTATGTGGCATAGCCCACAACCTACTTTTTTTTTTAATCTCCCCCTATCATCTTGCCTAATTAGCATTGATAAAGAGGATGGGTATCACCAAAGGAGAAGATAAAAGAAAATGCAGATTTGTGTAAAATGCCTGACATATTGTTAGTGTTAAAACATGACTATGAGTGCAGGAGAGAAAAGGCAAGAGCAAAGAAAAATTACTATAACATTAAAATCTATGTTGATATTGCCATCTAGTGGTAAAATGCTATAATATGAAAACATGGAATAAATAACTTTCTGACTCTGTAGTTATGGAATGTGTGTGTGCATTTGCGCATGTTTGTGAAACCGTTGTGCATATAAAATGTTTGTGTGAAATGTATGCATGTGATTGTGTATGTAATGACAAGTATGAATGTATGTGGAAACGTGACAAACTTTGGGTTTTCACAAATGGCCCTTTTTAAACCAAACATAAACTATTTGCAAGAATTTCATTGGTCGGAATAAGATGTGTCTGATTTTATAATAGATTTTAGGTTCTTATATTTCAATGGTATTCTGTCTGTCTTTAATTTTTGTTTTTTACTATTATTATTGTTTTGAATGCTTTTGTTTGTGGTGCTGGTCTGTGGCCGTAATAAAGATTGATTAATTGATTTCAATGATAATGTGTTGATACGTCTTAGAGTATGATTTAGGCAATCCGCAAAGGTCTACACCATATAGGAAGAGGTCCTCACTAGTGCTGTAACAAAAACAGGAATGCAGCCAAGTCAAGCAGGCCTTTGAGGCCTCTGCAACATAATACAGAACTGTTCATTTTCTTTTGAGACACAGAAAGCAATGTATTGTAGCAAGCAGTCCGTATTATAGACATGTCTATCTCAAATAAAAATTGATTAAGACAACATCTATTAGGCCTAGACCATGAAGCTGCTTGGTTTCAAGTATTAAAAGCAAGACAGTCTGTTTAGATTCTGCAGTCTGTTTCTACACTCAACATGAAGAGTCAGAGTTGACTACTGAACCTCACAAACCAATTAGAGGGAGCCAATTTACCTTAACTATCCACTTTGGTTTTATACATAAACTATACATGCACAGAAGACCACTAAAGGCCAGAAACCTGAAGGACAAAAACTGAAGAAGCATAGCTGCTTGAGTAAGTGAAAATGCAAAGCAGCATGGATCTCCTTTCATAAGAAGAGATTATCAAATTGAAGTGATCCATCAAATCTCATTTCATCTCAACCAAACTCATGCTCTATATAGGAAATGCACAATAACTGTAACTGATCCACTACCTAGTCCACTACTTTCTGAGACAACTATACCAACTTTTATAGTTGGGAAGTTCTTCTAGTATTTAATGAGAAATCTGTTTCTCTGCAATTCCTTACCACTAACTATAAACCTGCATCCTGGAATAATGGAAAGCGAGTTAGCTTCATCTTTTGCATGATGCTCTTTCACCAAGATAGCTGCAATATCTCACCTTAATGCGTTCTTTTGCAAACTAAACACATCTACTCTCCGACATTATCAAAATCCCTACTTTATTATTGGTCACTAAGTATTCTTTACTACTACTAATAATAATGATAAAGTTGGAAGGTACCTTGGAGGTCATCTAGTCCAACCCCCTGCTCAGGCAGGAAACCCTATACCATTTTGGACAAATGGCTGTCCAGTTTCTTCTTTAAAACTTCCAGTGTTGGAACATTCATCGTTTCTGGAGGCAGGTTGTTCCATTGGTTAATTGTTCTAACTGTCAGGAAGTTTCTCCTTAGTTCTAGGTTGCTTCTCTCTTTGCTTAGTTTCCACCCGTTGCTTCTTGTCCTGCCTTCAGGCGCTTTGGAAAATAGCTTGACTCCCTCTTCTTTGTGGCAGCCCCTGAGATATTGGAACACAGCTATCATGTCCCCCCTCGTCCTTCTCTTTGTTAAATTAGACATACCCAATTCCAGCAACCGTTCCTTATATGTTTTAGCCTCCAGTCCCCTGATCATCTTTGTTGCTCTTATCTGTACTCTTTCTAGAGTCTCAACATCTTTTTTACATCGTGGTGACCAAAACTGGATGCAGTATTCCAAGTGTGGCCTTACCAAGGCATTGTAAAGTGATATTAATACTTCACGTGATCTTGATTCTATCCCTCTGTTAATGCAGCCTAGCACTGTGTTGGCTTTTTTGGCCGCTGCAGCACACTGCTGGCTCATATTTAAATGATTGTCCACTAGGACTCCGAGATCCCTCTCACAGTTACTACTATTGAGCAAGGTACCCCTAAATACTATACCTGTGCATTTGGTTTTTCTTGCCTAAATGTAGAACCTTACTTTTTTCACCATTGAATTTCATTTTGTTAGATAGCGCCCAGTATTCAAGTCTGTCCAGATCCTCCTGTATCCTAATCCTGTCTTCTGGAGTATTGGCTATTCCTGCCAGTTTGGTGTCATCTGCAAATTTGATGAGTTCCCCATCTATCCCCTCATCCATTGATGAAGATGTTGAAGAGCACTGGGCCCAGAACAGAGCCCTGGGGCACCCCACTACACACTTGTAGATGCAATTCCATTGAGGACCACACGCTGAGTACGGCCGGTCAGCAAGCTATGGATCCATCTGGTGGTGATGCTGTCTAACACGCATTTTTCTATCTTATCAAGTAGTAGGTTGTGGTCTACTTTGTCAAATGCCTTACTGAAGTCTAAGTAAATTATATCCACAGCATTCCTCTGGTCCACTAATTTTGTCACTTGGTCAAAGAATGCAATAAGATTTGTCTGACATGATCTGTTTTTGACAAACCCATGTTGGCTTTTAGTAACGACTTTGTTTGCCTGTAGGTGTTCGCTGATTCGTTGTTTGATTATCTTTTCCAGAATCTTCCCAGGTATTGAGGTCAGGCTGATAGGTCTGTAATTTCCTGGGTCCCTCTTTTCCCCTTTTTTGAAGATGGGAACTACATCAGCTCTTTTCCAGTCCTCTGGTAGTTCCCCAGTGCTCCAGGATCTTTGAAAAATATAGTTCAGTGGTTCTGAGATCACATCTGTCAGTTCCTTGAGAACTTTGGAGTGTAATCCATCTGGTCCTGGTGATTTGAACTCGTCTAGGCTGGACAGGTGTTCACTTACCATTTTCTTGCCTATCTTAACTTGTATTTCTATTTTGTTTTTTATGGCACTATTTTTGATAGGTTGGTCTGTTTTTTCCCTTTGTGTAAAGACAGATGCAAAAAAAGAATTAAATAGTTCTGCTTTCTTCCTGTTGCTTGTCACCTTCTTGCCACTTTCACCCACTAATGGATCAATCATTTCCTTCACTTTTTTCTTGTTCTTCACATGTTGAAAGAAGCTTTTTTGTTATTTTTGACTTTGGTTGCAAGCCTTAGTTCATTTTGAGCCTTAGCTTTCCTCACTTCGTCTTTGCAGCCTCGGGCTATTTGCTGATATTCTGACTTAGTTATGTGTCCCTCTTTCCACTTTCTATACTTGTCCTTTTTATCTTTCAATTGATCAGAGAGTTCTTTATGCAGCCATGCTGGTTTCTTTTGAGAGTTGTTATTTTTCCTCTTTGTTGGTATTGTGCTAGACTGAACCTTTATTATCTCACTTTTCAAAATTTCCCAAACCTCTTGAGTTGTTTTCCCCTGAAGGATTCTCATCCATGGAATCCTTCCCAAACCCTCTTTAAGTTTATTGAAATTAGCTCTCTTGAAGTAGAAGACTTTAGTTTGACTGTGTTCTATTGCTTGTGCTTCCATAATGTTGAATTCCAATATTGCATGATCACTTCCTCCCAAGGTTCCTATGGCTTCAACTCCTTCTATCATTTCATCTCTGTTAGTGAGGATTAGATCCAATATGGCTAATCCCCTAGTTCCCTTCTCTACTTTTTGGGAGACAAAGTTGTCTGCTAGGTTTGTCAGGAATCTGTTTGATCTTCCACTTGGTGCAGAGTTTGTCTCCCAGTTGATGTCAAGGTAGTTAAAGTCCCCCATTACTATTGTGATGTGCTTCCTACATACCTTAGTTAGCTGACTAGCAAAAAGTTCATCTATTTCCTGTGTTTGGTTGGGTGGCCTATAGTATACACCTATGGCAATGTCATTCCCCCCCCCATTTATATTGACCCATATGCATTACTGAACTAAGTATTCTTTATTCAGGAGTCTCTTATTAGCTCTCAGGACAAATGAGAGTTACAATGGGTGTGCTTCTAACAATTCTCCTCTACAAACTTTGGAGACAAATATTCATATTCATTCTGACTACTCAAAATCTGATACATACTCCCCAAATATCTCATTATTATTATTTTTATTTGTTGCCTGGTTGATGTTTTAACCCAGTAGTTACACACTAGCTCTATAGCTATATATTGAATATTAGAACCTGATATATTCTTCTGGCACATAATTTATTTTACTACTTTTGATTGCTAGAACCTAGGGCTAGCCTGGATTGGGTAAACCTACTGTGGTTGTGCAAAGCAGTTCTGCTGGAAGGTGATTTGTGTGAAGCACATCACTGAAGAAAGTATATGATATTGACCCCATAAGAGATGGGGAAATAGGCCTGCAGTCTGATACCCATTCCCTTTTTCATCTTTCCCTGCTTCAGCCCTACCATTTCTATTTAGAGGCATGATCTTAAATGAAGAAAATTGTTCAAAATAGTACTGAGCAAGAGCATCTGGGAAAGAAATAGATTGAAAGACACGGCCACTTATTATTTCATGAAAGTACCAGAATTCTCCATCATCAGAATTTCTTCGTAGCAAAATCTTCTCTTTGGGGCTGAGCAGCTCCCATTTTCCAGAGCTAAAGTAAAGTGAAAAAAAGATGATTGTAAAACAGAGCTCACTCAGCTTTGATGCACTAAGAATCATAGGTTCAGTGAAGTGTTGAACTCTCAGTCAACAGGTTCAGTTTAGAAAGAGCTTCTGCAGAACACAGCTATCTACGTACACCCAAAATTTACCTATTCTCATTTCTCCAGTCCTAAATTAATGCAGCATGTTTATTTTCCTGATATATAATGTTTAGTTGGAAAATTGCATTGCAAAATTGAATTTTCAGATAATACCTGAAATTTGATTGATTCATTACTGGTAGCCCCCACTTACTGATGGTCAATGGGACCAGAAACTCTGTTACTAAATAATGTGTTGTAAATGCCAATTTACAACAGCAATTCTGTCAGTCCCAGTTGCTCTTGTTAGGCAAATCTTTCATGGCTACAATGGTAATGTGATTGACATTTGTGATCTGCTGCCAACTTCCCCATTAACTTTCTTGTTAGAAGCCAGCAATGAAGGTCACAAATAATGATCATGTGACCCTGGAACACTGTGATATCATAATTGTGAGCCAATCACTGACCAACTGAATCTCAATCACATGGATCACAGGGACACCACAACAGCCACAACTATGATGACTCATTCAGCACTTCATTCAGTTCCTGAATGAGTGGATGTTAAACAAAGACTATCTGTAATTTAAAAGGGCAAAATACATAAATACTTATTAAATTCAATGTTTTCTTCTCTTTTTTATCCTGGTTAATCCTCAAAATGTTTTTTCATATAAAGAGCTCCACTACAGGAGCCCTGACTTGCTATGTAAATTTACTTTCTACAAATTCCTCACATATATTATTGTTAATATACAGGTTCATTTTTATTTAATTAGTGCGTTCACATTCTGTTAAACTAGAGTTAAATTTATTGATTTGCTATTATTGATTCTATATCTTTAAATCAACAAATAAATAGTACCACAATTAAAAATCAGTGCTATCAAGGAAAGCTTTTTCAAAACTTGAGCAGAAAAATATTCACTTCCTATGTGTTGAGTCCGTGGCGGGAAAACAGACACGAGAAGCAGCTGGAGTTCTCAGTTTCATTTATTCAGCGTTCAGCTTACAGGAAGATGGCTTCAGCCTCGCCCAAACGCCTTGCAGCCTCTTATATAGGCAACTCCCGGGTAAAAGGGTTACTTTTCCCGCGCCAGCACCCGCGCATGCGCACGGCGCTGGCGACAGCCTGTCTGGTCCCGGGCAGCTTTGCACCTGCCCGGGACTGCCTGCAAACGCCCGAGCCGTTTGCAAGGCTCGGGACATAACACTATGCATTTTCTCAGTCCCCGTTATAACTGCTTATAGAAGTTGCTGATATTCTCACTTTTTATTGACATGTTTAAAAGTCTCCAGTTAAATTGGAGTTCCTAGTAAACAAATAGCAGTGCTAAGATTTTAATCTGTCTTGGGTGAAAGTTATAAAGTTTCTTTTTCGTACCACCATCTTTTATTTTCTGGTCTTTGGTTTTATGTGTTTAACATTCACCCACATTCAGTTCCACTAGCACTGTCTGGTCTTTCAGAGTAGCTCAAAGTGTTGTGTTCTAACTGATGAACTTGTCTGTGTTAATCTCTGCCTGCAGGTGGTATTGAGACTGCATCCATCTGAAGTGTCACATCTTTTTGCTGTAAGGACTCACCTGTCACTCCAATCCCCTTGCCACTCAACTTTTCCCCAGGGATTTCTTAGCCTTACTAAATTTTCAGGTCCATGTTTGCATGTCACCTTTGGGAAACAATAACAGATTGCTACAGTAAGAATTATTCTTCAACTTTCCATTCCTTTGAGTAACTATAACTTTCTAAGTAAGATACAAGATACCAGTATGGGTCTAGTAAATACTGAGTAGCTTGATCCCTAAATACTTCTAAGGGCATCCAGGTTCCATAAGTCCAATAACACATTCTGCCAGGATTTCATCCATCAGTAAAATACTTTGCCATTTATCAAAAGAAGCCAAATGGACTGGAGATGTGCTAGAGAACTGAGAAGAAGGCTATAACTCCTACTATAAACAGGATAATCTGTACTAGAAGGGACACCCTGTCTAAAATACAAAGATAAAGAAACATACAGAGAGCTATGAAGGATCTGAAGTTGTCCATCAACATTCAATATCTGAACTGCAGACTGCACACAGAAATAATCTAATTCTAGTCTTCTTTACCACAGTGAGATGTATTTGTAGTATTCATTATTCAACATACTGAATCAGCAACTAACCACATGGGCTGCGTTCATATACCCTTCTAGGTTAAACTGTGGTTGAGTGGCTTCCATTCAATATGCAAAGGGTAAACTAGATATAGTACCAGAGCTCAGTATTTTAGTTATATGATTTGTGAAAGAAAATACTAGACCCCCTCCATTTCCCATTGTCCTCATTTTAGCAAGGTAAAACTTGTTCAGCTTAAAAAAGATCCACTACACTCTTCACTGAAGCTTAGGAAAAGTCAAAACAAAAAGTTCTGACACCAACCATCTCAACATGGCCTTGCCAATTACAGTGTTCCTTGGCATACAAAAAATGTTAAATTTGGCCTTCAGGCACCAAAAGCTTGTCTAGTCCTGGGTTATGGTAAGTTAAACAACAACAGATAACCAGAAATAAAAAATGAAAGCCAGAAAATCAAATAGTCAGGTGTGAGTCAATAAAAGTATGCCATATTTTGAAAATGATGAACTGCTGGCTTCATCCATTGCTTAAAAATGCTAAACAGAGAGCTTATTTCTAAATTTCTTCCTTGTTATGTTAAGATAGAAGGTAAGAATATAAGCCCATTAAGGAAACCATGTTTGGAATGATCAAAGCAAGTTTGCATTTACCTTTCGAATGCCAGTCACAGCATAGGCATGACTAGCCACTAAGCCATTCGCTAGGACCTTTGTTGGCTGTAGGAAAAACAAAATCAGTTTATTTAACCATGCTATGAACTATTTTCTTCATGCTTAGTGGAACCAATACAACCAAGAAAAAACAATTGGCAGTTGGTTCATTGGGAATGCTTGAACAGCTTGAGCTAAGCTCCTCACTAAACTTTCTGCAAGCTATTGTGAAGTTACGGGGTTGATTCAGCTGCTGGAATAAAAAAAATGTTCAGCTTAGAAAAAGAAAATTGCTGAGGTGGGGCATAAATCGAGCTTTAAAAGAACAGTGTGGAAAAAGAGAATAGCCGCAATATCTTTTTTCTCCATATGTGAAAAATCAAAATCTAATCGCTAGGCTTCATTTTTAAATAAATTATGCATTTGTATAGAATATGGTGCAATTCTATATTAATCTTTCCAAAATCATTCTCAGACAGATCATGCTACAGAAGAGATAGTCTTAAATGACAAATAATTTAAGTATTCATTAATGCAATTGTTTTAGGCATTTTAAATAAAATAAAATAAAGTTCTTACTAAGTGATTCATATTAACCTTATTCCTTTTTTTATATTATTTTTTAAGGGGCATTTGCTCTCTTGAAAGAAGGCACTCAAAAACTTTCTTCTTCTTTATTAGAACAGAGGTCCCCAACCTTTTGGGCACCAGGGACTGGTGCCATGAAGAAAGGTTTTTCTGTGGACCGAAAGGGGTGTGGTTTTGAATACTACCTGCATCCCGAGGATGGAGTTTCCTTGTTTGTGTGGCCTGCTTGCTGGCATGCTGCAGACCGGTGCTGATCCACGGACTGGGGGTTGGGGACCCCTGTATTAGAATGATCCATTTTATCACATAATTCTATTTGTTGGGCAGTTAATAGGGGGAAATGTCTTGCTTTCTTCAATAAATGACATACAGGGAACTGTGAGACCAAAATTCTTAATAATAATGTGAGAGAAAGGAAATGAAGGTCTTACCCCTGCATCAGTCTGGCACCCCATGAGCGATCTGCTGTAAGTTGCTCTTGTCAAGATATCCCAGAGATCAGGTGGTGCTTCAGCCAACTTTATTGTTATATTGACTCCCCCTGTGAAATCTACCAGAGCTTCCGACACTTGACCAATCTGTAGATCTTCATAAGAACCACACAGCCTGCCCAGAAAGTTTTGCCAATGGATGTAGTGAATATAACAATAGATTAAAAATAGACTGGATAAGATTCATGAGAGAATGCTAGGGTAATCACTTACTTGGCATAAGCTTTTTCCAGAAGAGATCCCCAGAATAGATTCTTGTAAACAGAAGAGAGAAAAACAAGCTGACCGGCTTCATTTACTGGTAATCGATCATCTACTACGATGTCAACCCACTCCCCAAAATGCCAGAACTGAAAAAGGAAAGTAACAAATAAGATCATGCTCCTATTTCAAAGAGGGAGAAAGGCCATCATCTAATCCTGCTCATTGGTGATCAAACAATAACTGCAGGAAAGTATAAGTGAACTTTTTGCTACAGTAATATGATGACCAAAACTATAATGTTCGAGGAGATGAGTAGGAGTTATATGAAACTAAGCTGCATCTCCAGGTTCTGAAGTGACAAGAAGGAGCATGCATATGATAGAGTTAAATCACTAAATACTTCAGATAAAAAAAGTGTTTTTTACCTGCAAACATTAAGCATCCAGACTTCTTAGTCTTTTTGCTTTGTTTCCTCTTTGCAATAGTAATCTTAACCACAATAATCTCACATGCATCATTGTGCAAATGACATATGCATTGTGTAATCTGCATCTACTATTTCACATGACAAACATAAAGCACAGTACATAAATCCTGGAATTCACACAATGACAACAAAATGCATATTTTTTTCCTCTATTTTACTCCCTTGTGCAAAGGGCCATATCACTGGCAATTCCCATCCTAAAACTCTAAAGAGCACTATGTTGGGGAAGGCTGATTCATATATATTGACAGAACTGTCTGAATTATTCATTACATTTACAGAAATCTAACATTTTTACGGTTAGGATGTTTCATCAGATACTAGGGATTATGCTCACCTTGAAATGAAATATTCCAGCATATTTCTTCGTCTCAAAACTCTGATTTTGTGGTACCACATTAAGCAAAATATCTTCATGAAATGTTAAAGCTTCCACGGCAGCCAAAAACCAGCAGTTCTCTGTGCCAAAATGGTTAAGGAAAACAGAAGGTGACCTAAAAATTGTTTGTTCACCTTATTTCAGGCACTAAATAGAAGGCAGTACATATGCAGGTATTTATTACTTTTATAATTAACCAGGAACTAATAGACACCAGATGTAGCTTTGTGCCTTATTCTGTAGAATGCATTTCATTTTTAGTAGTAAATTTGCAATTAAAATTTAGATTAGAAAGCAGACCTTTTATACTTTTATACCTTCTATGAAAATTTATTCTTTTTCATAGGCTAACTTTCCTGAAAATTTAATCTAAAACATATAGTCATTTAGGCTTATATTGCACATATACCAGATAGAGGCAGAATTCTTATATTTCCAGATATAATCTGATAGATCAATTTAGGGCAGACTATTTTCTGCCAGACTGTTCAAGGTTAGAATGGGCTTTTTCCAGAGCTACAGCTTTTGAAATGGATCTGGTAGACTAAGCCAACCTTGACACATTCTAAATATTCACACAAATGACATTCTCTCTTGAAATACTTCTTACCTATCAGTCCTTGACATAGAGCAAGCCTTTTTTTGTTGGTAGAATAAAAGATTGGATTCTTGTGCAGCTCCTGGAATATATAGGTATATATAAGCCACTTTAAGCCCACGCAATACTATGTTTATACAATGCTCTGTTGTATAAATATGTTTATAATATTATAAGCATCTTTGCTTTGCTGTTATATTAAACATATTGGAACTCAAGAAAGAAGTGTAACAGAGGGAGTTTATAATCTAGCATATAACCAAGGATCAGCCTAAAAACAAACAAGTGCTTCCTGCCAGCATTATAATATGTGATTTGAAGCCAGTCCCAAGAAATCAAAATAGTACTCATTAAGTGACAGTTTTCATTTCTGAATTGAATAAGTCAAAACATAAATATAGTAGTGTTATGTCCCGAGCCTTGCAAACGGCTCGGGCGTTTGCAGGCAGTCCCGGGCAGGTGCAAAGCTGCCTGGGACCAGACAGGCTGTCGCCAGCGCCGTGCGCATGCGCGGGTGCTGGCGCGGGAAAAGTATCGCATTTACCCGGGAAATGTCTATATAAGAAGTTGGAGGTTTTGGGAGCTGCTGAAGCCATCTACTTGTAAGCTGAACGCAGAATAAAGAAAACTGAGAACTTCAACTGCTTCTCGTGTCTGCTTCCCGCCACGGACTCAACACTGGCGACGAAGGTGGGATTGCCTTACACCGCCTGGAAAGGAAGAAGTGTAAGCTTACCCAAGTGAGTCCTGAGCGGCGGAACGGCGTCGACTCGGCAGCTACCCGCCAATCCAGTGCGCATTCGGGGGTAGGCTGGCTGATAGACCCGTCTCCTGAAGATGGCAAAAATCGGAAGGCTTTCGGAATTCGACGTCTCACATCCAGAGCGGTGGGAGTCATACGTAGCCAGGGTGGAGAACTACTTCAAGGCAAACCAAGTGAGGGAAGAGAGCTTGAAGGCTGCCACCCTGCTTTGTGTTTGCGGCCAAGATGCCTTCGACATCGCAGAAAACCTTGCAGCACCTGTTCCAGTAGAGTCTGTAAGCTACGCAGATCTGAAGAAGCTACTGAAGGAGCACTTCCACCCCAAGATGTCCGTCATCGCATGGTGCCACACCTTCGAGCAGAGGGATCAACGGCCCGGTGAGTCAGCCAAAGAATTCATCGCCGCATTACGGAAGGCCACCAAACACTGCGAGTTCAAAGACCTCGAAGAACGACTGAGGGACCGATTCGTGTGCGGGTTAAGGCATCGAGATCTACAACAGAGACTTTTCGCTAAAGAAGAATTGTCCTACCAAGATGCCTTAAGGGAAGTCACCGCAGAAGAAGCAGCAGGCGGCGCTGTCAAGAACATGCGGCCGATCAGAAACAGTCCAGAGGTTGCATCCGTGCACCAGGAAGACGTCCAAAGAAACTCCGAGGAGGATCCGGATGAGGAAGTCGACCGTCTCCACCCCACGAAGGAAGAAAAACAGAAGGGAAGCTCTTCAGCTCCGCTCAAGTGCATCGGCTGTGGAGGTCGCCACAGGAGAACCGACTGCAAGTTCCGCTCCGCTACCTGCCGGGCATGCGGCAAACAAGGACACATTGCAGCTGTGTGTCTGGGCCGACGAAAGGTACAACCTCAGGAAGAACTGCGCCTGAAAGGTACCAGATTCCCCAGCCAGAATAGGGTAGGGTTTTGCGCTTCGCGAAGAAGCATCCTTAGGACAGGCACACACAAGCCAATTAAGAAAAAGCTGTCACTCAAGGTGAAGCTACAAGGGGTTCCATTATCTATGGAACTAGACACAGGGTCTGCCTTTTCAATTATCTCCTTGCATACATTTAGGAAGATTTGTTCCGGTAGTGGAACTCAGGCCAAGTTAAGGCCTTCTGACATTGTGTTAACAGATTTTCAAAATTCAAGAGTGTGTGTTAAGGGGGAGGCCACCCTTAACGTGCAATACAAGAGTTTTGAAGGTCCACTAGACTTATTAGTAGTAGGGGGTGAACGAACGAGTCTCATAGGACTCGATTGGTTTGAGGCCCTGGGGATACACGTCACAGGACTCAACAGCTTACAAACACTCGACCTACAGGAAGTCTGCAAAGAATTTGCAGATGTTTTCAGCCCCCAGCTGGGCACATTCAAAGGACCCCTGTGTCCTTAAAGCTAGACCCCACTGTCACTCCCATTAGAATTAAAGCAAGAAGGGTCCCTTTTGCTTTAAAGAGTAAAATTGACACTGAGTTAGACAAACTGATCCAACAGGGAATCCTAGAACCTGTTGATTCCAGTCCTTGGGAGACCCCCATTGTCACGCCTCTAAAGGCAAATGGGGACATTCGCATTTGTGCTGACTACAAATGCACTCTGAATAAGGCATTGCAGCAACATGCCTATCCTGTTCCTGTGGTCAGTCATATTCTGGCCTCCCTCAAGGGGGGGCGCGTTTTTGCAAAGCTTGACCTAGCTCAAGCGTATCAACAGCTGCCTGTTGATGATGATGCTGCTATAGCTCAGACTATTGTGACCCACAGGGGAGCCTTTAAGGTAAAAAGGCTGCAGTTTGGAGTGAATGTCGCTCCTGGGATTTTCCAAAGCGTAATGGAAAACACACTGCGGGGCATACCGGGGGTTTGCCCCTACTTTGATGATGTCTTAATTGCAGGAGACTCCACACACATTCTAGCTGAAAGGCTAAGAGCTGTTCTGTTAAGATTCAGGAAATCAGGCCTCAAGCTCAAAAAAGACAAATGCAATGATTGGGGTGCCTTCTACTGAATTTCTGGGGTTCAAAATTGATGCTGCTGGGATTCACCCTGCTGAATCCAAACTGACTGCTATTTTAGAAGCACCTAGGCCAAAGTCCAAGGCCGAACTTCAGGCCTTCCTGGGCCTCCTGAATTTCTACAATTCTTTTCTTCCACAAAAAGCTAGTGTAGCTGAGCCTCTTCACAGGCTACTAGACAAGCAAGCAGTGTGGCAGTGGTCACAAACGCATGAGGGTTGTTTTAACAAAGTCAAGGCTTTGCTCACTTCTAACAGTGTACTTGCACATTTCAACGAGTCTCTTCCTGTGTGCATCGCTTGTGATGCGTCCCCTTACGGGGTTGGAGCTGTCCTGAGCCACCTCAGGTCTGATGGAACTCAGGTTCCTGTTGCATATTACTCCAGAACATTGTCTTCTGCTGAGCGCAACTACGCTCAGATAGACAGGGAGGCTCTGGCTGTTGTTGCTGGAATTAAAAAATTCCATGACTTTCTATATGGCAGGCACTTCACGGTCTTCACTGACCATAAGCCTCTGCTGGGACTGTTTACCACACGTAAGCAGACTCCCCAAATCATTTCCCCTAGAATGCTTAGGTGGTCTATTTTTTTGTCTGCATATGATTTTTCCTTACTCCACAAGCCTGGAAAAGAAATGGGCCATGCTGATGGCCTCAGTAGATTGCCTCTGCCAGTAGTTGAAGCTGACCCTGCACCAGCTGTCAACATTCTATCAATCCAAGCCTTGCCCGAGCTCCCTCTTAGTGCCAGGGATGTTGCCGCTGAATCAGGTACAGATCACACACTTTCACGTGTCCGTTCCTGGGTTTTGTCTGGTTGGCCTGAGCACTGCCCTAGTCCTGAGTTTCAGAGTTTCTGGTCCAAAAGGAACGAGCTGTCCCTTTCTCAGGGTTGTCTGCTTTGGGGAAACAGAGTTGTCATTCCCACCTCAATGAGGACTAGGGTCTTAGAATCCCTCCACGAGGGTCATCCTGGCATTGTTCGTATGAAGGCTCTTGCGTGCAGCCACTTGTGGTGGCCTGGTTTAGATAAAGATATTGAGGCTAAGGTGCATGCATGCCACCTGTGCCAACGATCTCGCCCAGAGATGCCCCAAGCTCCCGTGCATAGATGGGAGGAAACACAGTCCCCATGGTCTAGGGTGCACATTGACTACGCTGGACCCTTTCAGGGCCAGTTCTTCTTGGTCCTTGTTGACAGCCATTCGAAATGGCTTGAGGTTGTACCTGTCTCATCCACCACCACTGCACAGACTATTCAGGTACTGAGGGGGATTTTTGCTGCACACGGGCTGCCAGATGTCATTGTGTCCGACAACGGCCCTCAATTCACTTCCTCCGAGTTCCAAGCTTTCTTACAGGCAAACATGATTCGTCATGCCACGTCTGCACCCTTCCACCCGTCCACCAACGGTATGGCTGAATGTATGGTGCGCATCACAAAGGACGCATTGAAAAGACTCACCTACGGGGACTGGCATCACAGGTTGGCTGACTTTCTCCTTTCTTATCGCACCACACCGTCCACTTCTACAGGGAGAAGCCCAGCTGAACTTCGTTGGGGGCGTCAACTTACTACTAAACTTGACCGGTTGCATCCGGACAGACTGCCTTCATCTACCTCACATCCTAGGGCACCTAGACAACTACTTGTGGGTGCCCCGGTTTGGGCTCGCAATTACGGGCCTGGTCATACATGGGTCCCCGCTTCTATTTCCAGGGTCACAGGTCCTCTCTCCTACGAGGTAGCCCTGGACAACGGTCGTGTCCTGCGTCGGCACATCGACCAACTCCGCCCTCGGCGGGACTTTTCAGATGAGACTCCTGGGTCTTTTCCAGGGGGGGAGGGGGACCCTTTGGAGCAAAGGGAAGGGCACGAGCTGCTGCCCATCTCCACTGATGGAGCTACAAACGGCCCATCCCAGGGTTCCGCGAGAGCTCCGAACAAGAATTCTATGAGCCTACCTAATTACCAGGCATCCACGCCTACTCCAGCCAGGGAGTCACCCCGGGGGCATACTCACTTTCCACACACATCACACAGCACTCCAGTCACGGAGGATACCCGGGGGCATCCCAACAAATCATTCCCCGCAAGAGAGCTGGCACACAATTCCCAAGGTTGGCCTGACCTTACCCCAAATCCTACAGGGGGTCAAACATACAGGGAGGTGGTCGAGGAACCAAGTCTCGACTACAACACCTCTAGCCCAAATCAGGGAGTAACTGAGTTTTGGGAAAGTACAGAAACCCACACAAGCCCGGACACAGAACGGGGTTCAGGGAATGGACAGCCTCCTGACAGGTCTTGGATGGACCTAGGAGGTTCAACAGAGACGCCCAGCAGTGGCTATCACTTCAAGGGGCCCGAGGGTCTACAGCTAGGCAGGTCAACCAGGTCACAAAGTGACAGAAGCCCTGGCCTGACGAGCCCGGTGGGCGAGCAAGCAGGCCAGGCAGCGGGGCACAGTCCTTGGAAGGCACCAAGGCAAAATAAGGAGAACAGGCTCACATCTCCCTCCAGTCAGGGAACTCATGCTAGTAACCCAGAGCTGAGAAGGTCACAGAGAGCAAAGAAGTCTCCTAAATACTTAGAGGATTACATAACATTGCTGGCTAAACAAAAGCCAGGTAACGATAGGAGCACTGAGAAGCAGAACACTGCATAAAATAAATGATTATATGTTGGTAGTAGTTTTAGCCCGGGGGAAAGGGGTGTTATGTCCCGAGCCTTGCAAACGGCTCGGGCGTTTGCAGGCAGTCCCGGGCAGGTGCAAAGCTGCCCGGGACCAGACAGGCTGTCGCCAGCGCCGTGCGCATGCGCGGGTGCTGGCGCGGGAAAAGTATCGCATTTACCCGGGAAATGTCTATATAAGAAGTTGGGAGGTTTTGGGAGCTGCTGAAGCCATCTACTTGTAAGCTGAACGCAGAATAAAGAAAACTGAGAACTTCAACTGCTTCTCGTGTCTGCTTCCCGCCACGGACTCAACAAGTAGCATTTGATAGTGGTGAATATTTAAATGGGAATCAAAAGAGGAGGAGCTAGAAATGTGACGAGTCAAACTTTTCTTAGGAATCACTGTTAAAGGAATGTATTTGTCATGTAAACATAAATTTGCAGCCCGCTCATTCTTTCAAGGATAAAGTGAATATATTTTAACACAATACATCTTTTGTTGATAGAGCATTTATCCCCCAAGCTTTCATAATTGGATAATTGCATTCTAAGTTTCTCTGGAAAGGCTGAAACCAGAATTATTCTTGTTAGAAAAAAATGATGATCCACTCAAAACCACATTTATACGCCCAAGAATAAATATACCTACTGTACCAACAAGGAAATATCAAGCCAAAATCCAAAGTCAAATCAATACCAGGCGTTTCCTGGAAGCTTGCCATTCAGACAAATCAGCCATCAATAGACACATATTGTAGAGATAAACCACTCTTATAATCCATTCAAAAGAGATAATAAAAAGCGAAGAAAGAAACAAAAAGAGTGGAAAACATCCTACAATCAAATAAGGAAAGATAACACCAAAAGAAGAAAAAACAATACCCTAATCAAGGAACTACAAAGAAAAGAACCATACCCCCCACCCCCACTGGCAAGGCAAGCTACTGCACATAAACAGAGAACAAACCCTTCATCCATTTCCACCCATGATGATGTTTACATAGTCAGATTATGATCTGCAAGCAAACAACAAAAAGATTTAGCACAAGAACTCCACAGTTCAACCCTGAGCTACAAATATTCTCTTCTATTGAAATATTATCAAAGATAATATTATCATACATCATTAGATTGCAACTCTATGATATTGAGGAAAAAAAACAATAATAAAGGGAATAGAAGCTGTGTTGTGCACAGAGGGCAAACAAGCAAGGGTAAGCACTTTACCCCAGCCCAAAAATAAAACAAAGATGCCCACTGGAGGATGTAAGGGCTAAGTGGAACATGAACTTCTAGAGATGAAGATAGTTCATTGAGTTAACAGCCCATTGTAGGAATCAGCTGCAAGTTTTTCTAAACAAAACTGGGGGGAAAGTCACTGCTAGTCAGCAGAGCAGTCAGCTACTGGAGAAGAGAGGTTGTATCATGCACTGCAGTCAGAGCTGGCTTAAGAACAGACGAAAGTGCCAGAGATCATCCTCTCTGAAGGATTTAAGAAGGCTCTCATTAAAAAATAGCAATTTTGAATTGATGCTGGAAAACACAAAAGCAGGATATATTTGCAATGGACTGAGACTAGCGGAAGAATATGTCCTCCGTTTCTGCATTCAGGAAACTGAGTATCTGGTACAGTACAGACAAGGGGCTGAATAGAAAGATCTACCCTGGCTGTGGCTCTCTGAAGTCTGCAGTTAATGACTTTCTCATTGTCTGATATTTTTGTTAAGGCTAAATCTTCTTGAACTCGGGATCTGTGAATTGCAAAGCATATGTTATATGTCCACAGGTAGTCTTTAACTTACGGCCATAATTGAACAGTTGTAAGTTATGCCAGTCTTTAAGCAGGTCATCACAAGACTAACACAATTTTGCAACTTTTTTGTGGCAGGCATTAAGCGAACGCCTTGGTCGTTAAACAAACCCAATGGGTGGTTTTTGCTGGAAACTGAAAGTAAACATTGGTTTCCAGCAAAAAAAAAAAGTTGTAAATCATGTCACATGATCATGAGATGATGCATACAGCCATAAATGCAGGTTGGTTGCTGAGCACCCAAAATGTGATCATGTGACCATGGAGGGGGTGTTGGAACTTCAAATCCAGGTCATATCTGTCTTTTTGAGAGTCCATCATAACTTTAAATGGTCACTAAACAACAGGTCATTAAGCAAGACTATCTTTGTAAACAAGTCTTCCGTGCTTTCTAAGATTTCAGAAAATCATTTTCTTTTCTTTTTTTAATAAAATGTTCCTGTAATACAAATTGCATTACTTACATGTGGCCTCTTCCACTGTATCCATTGGGGCAGTTCCTGGAGTAATGGTCCTGTGCCTATGGATCTCACATCTGCTGGGAAGGACTGGTCTTCAAACAAACACCCTTTCTTCAAGCACTCTGCCAGCAAAGTGTGATAGTTCTGTTGGCTAAGCTTATTGGGCTCTGCAAAGCTTTTTGTTTTCAAGGGCCGCCATTGCTGTCGCTTCCTCTTCTGTTGGTGCATGTAAAATAACTGCCAAAAAGGCATAGCTGTGTGAAACAGTGTTGCTCTGGATCTGCGTATTGGTTCTAACTCCCTTTTCCAAAAGCTGGTTTTTCTTCAATCCAAATTAGTCCTGTCTGGAAAGATACCATAAAAGTTCAACAAGTAAGTAAGTAAATAAGCAAGCAAGTTCCTTCACTCGCTCGCTCTATGGGTCTTCCCAGGCAACTAAAATATTATGGGATGCATCATATTAAGGAACAAAGTGAGTTAATTTTTCAACATCACATTTTAAAAAGCAAACAAAGAATCATATACACCATTTTAAGTTTTTGGGAGGAAAAGTGGAATTCAAAAGAGAAAAGAAATAGCATACAAAGCACATTAAAAGCAAATAAAGGACTGCAGTCTGTGCTGTAGAAACAATCTTAAGCTGGATTTCTGAAGAATGTCTGACTGGTGTAGATGATGTCATATTTTGAAAAACAACACATATTATTACTAACTCTTCTTTGAAACCACACCAGAATTATACTGAAGTCAGTAAAATGACCTAAACTGGCATATATTCATTTAGGTCATGTGGATTTTGGAATCAGCTTTTACTGAATAAAAGGAAGGAAACAACTTGAGCATATAATAAGTCACATAAATTATAGGTATATTAAACAAAAATGTATTTATTCTTCTTAAGCATTTCTATTAAAAACAGAAAGGGAAAGAAAATGGTTTTAGCAACTTTGTACTTTACAGCTAGGGTTTTGATGTTCAGCTCTTGTTCCTCATTATACTAATGCTAACTGTTTTAAAACCAAATATCCCCCATCCCTAGAAAGTGTATTCTCAGAATATTTTGCACAGATAGCGTGCTTAAGATTCACTTGATGGTTTTAAGAAAAGTTTTCAGAACATTCTTCAAAATCATAACATGTACTCTCATATGGTCAACAAAAATTCTACTTTATCCTTCTTATTAGATTTCTTAATTATTATTTTGAAAATCCCCACAGAGTGACTTCTTCCAAGATTAAACATTAAACTTCTTTTGCATGTAAAGGTTTCATTTTGGATGTTTGTAATAGAAAAAAAGTGATTCTCATTTTGACAGCTATATCCTCACTGAATGTTTAGAAAATTGTTAGATAAAAATGGCTAGTCTCTCAAGGACTGGACTTAGGTATAGATATAATTGAGAGCCACTTTGTGTAGTGGTTAAGGCACTAACTAGAAACAGAAGATCGCTTCTGCATTAGGGATGAAGCCAGCTGAGTGACTTTCGGCCAGTCATTCTCTCTCTGCTTAGAGAAGAAAGTTTCTGAAAGTCTTGCCAAGAAAGCCTCAGGGACAAGTCCAGGCAGTCAACATGTTAAAACTGATTTAAAGGCAACAACAGTATATCAATAGTTAGATAGATGTGATCATTCCATATGCTTTATGCATCCTCCCAAAGCTTGGCAGAATAAGAGAAAAATTGTTGGTTTGGGACCAAGGAAGGTCATGTAAAATTTCCATTCCCCCAGTATTACACTAGATTTTCACACCAGCAATTTGCACAATTCTCCAAACTTTCTGCAAAGAACAAGAAGGAGTGAGATTGCATGTCGGGGTGTTAGATTTCCCTGCATGACCACACATTTGCTGATCCTGTTCTTGGCTGACTGCTCGTTTCGCATGACATGCAGAGGTCACATGCATGGAGAATCAGTTCACCATCCCAGATAAACTGTTCTTAGACACAGTTCAGACATTTGTTTGTTTGTTTGCTTATACAGCCGCTCATTTTATATGTTATAATGAGGGGTCCTTGGTGCTCCCTGAACTTGGTTGTTTTCTTGCAGACATTTCATTACCTCAAACTGCACTGATGATGTTACCTAGTTTGGGTACTGAAATGTCTGCAAGAAAACATCCAAGCTCAGAGAGCACCAAGGACCCCTCATTTCAACCCTGAGCTACAAATATTCTCCTTTATATGTTATAATCCTGAGCAGGTCACAAAGCAAGAATAAAATAAATAAAAATATTACAAAACCTCCCAGTTCCCCCAAAGCAAGCATCCCTGCACCCCTTTCAGTTGACTGGGCTCCAGCCTCACCCTCTCCAGTGTTTCGAGAGGATGAGGCTAGAGGGCAAAGAGCCAGCTCTTCATGGCCTTCCAGAGCATGAAAAGGGAAAGTGACTGCCAGATTGCAAGAGGAAAAGTATACCACAGAGCAAGGACTTCTACAAATAAGGTGTATTCCTTGATCACACAAGATAACATCATTTAAGGCATGGGTGTCAAACTCGCTGCATCACGTGACATGTTGTGATGTATTGTGACTTTTTTTTTTTTTTTTGCATTCCCAGAGCTGGGGTGAGCACAGCCCGTGGGCCGGCAGTTTGACACCCTGATTTAAGGGAAGAGACCTGAAGCATGACTATTCTATCTGACCTTGTGGCATGGCAAATATCCAAAGACAGAGGCCATCCCTCATATAATCTGGCCATTCAGGGCTTTAAAGATAATAACCAACATTTTGAATTGCACCTGGAAAGAAAGTTGAAACTATTATAGTACAGTTTGTGCAGCAACAGTATAATAGGAGCAAACCATGGAGTGCCCAAAATATGTGTACTGTTGCATTCTGGACTAGTAGTAATGTTTAGATGGGTTTCAAGTGCAGTCCATGTATACTCTATTGCAGTAATCTAGCCAGGAAGTGACCAGAACATGAGTGACAATGAGCAAGTGCTCCTGTTCCCGGAAAGGGTGTAACCAGCACACAAAATTAATCTGTGCAAAACCCCACTATTGAGCTATTTGGCCAAAGATCCAAATAGGTGACGACACTGATAGTAACACATATTGGTCAAGTCACCTGTGTATCCAATATTCTATCTTGCTGGTTGTGTGGCATGATACAATTCTCTTTTTCTCTAGTATAGTTACAAACATGCGCAGTAAGAAAAGTTGTATGGACTTATTTCTCATCTTTCATCTTAAAAGGTTCCAACAGTGTTAGAAGCAAACAGATACTTCTAATTCCAAATAACAGAATAACAGAGTTGGAAGGGACCTTGGAGGTCTTCTAGTCCAACCTCCTGCTCAAGCAGGAAACCCTATACCGTTTCAGACAAACGGTTGTCCAATCTCTTCTTAAAAATCTTCAGTTTGGAGCACCCAACTGAAGGCAAGCCATTCCACTGATTAATTGTTTTAAGGAAATTTCTCCTTAATTCTATCTTGCTTCTCTCCTTGATTAGTTTCCATCCACTGTTTCTTGTCCTGCCTAATGCTGAAGTTTTGCTCAGTTCTCACTGAATATGATTATCAGCCTGTAAGTATTTATTCCAAACTATTAGCATCTCAACTCAGATGAGCTTTACACCTGATTTTTTTCTTTTCTTCTTCTTCTTCCCCCATCATTACAGAAGTGCCAGAAGGGCACAGCAGTTTCTTGTAAGAGGTCTGCTTCCAGCGGACTTCTGAAAACTTCATAAAATTGGAACCACTTGTTACCTGCTCCAAGTACAGGTATTCACATACACCTCAATTATATTCTGTAGGATAGACTTCCATTAAGGTTTTCAATATATCTAATGAATAAAACCAAAGCTTGTTAAAAAAGAAATTATGGTTCCTTTTGTAAAAACAGAATAACTATATTACTATTACTATATTACTATTACTGATTGGTTCAAAATTGGGAAAGGAGTCCAGCAAGGCTGTATTCTGTCACCCTGCCTATTTAACTTATATGTAGAGCACATCATGAGAAAGGCAGGGCTAGATGAAACAAAAGTTGGAATTAAGATTGCAGGGAGAAATATCAACAACCTAAGATATGTAGATGATACCACTCTAATGGCAGAAAGTGAAGAGGAACTAAAGAGCTTCTTGATGTGGGTGAAGAAGGAGAGTGCAAAAGTTGGCTTGAAACTCAACATTAAGAAAACCAAGATCATGGTGTCCGGCCCTTTCAATTCCTGGCAAATAGATGGGGAAGAAATGGAGGTAGTGACTGATTTTATCTTCCTGGGCTCCAAGATCACCACAGATGGGGACTGTAGCAGTCAGGGTTGATCTCCTCTAGGACTGACCGGTTTACAGTCCAGGGGACTCACAGGAATCTTCTCCAGCACCATAGTTCAAATTATTTTGCACTCAGCCTTTCTTATGGTCCAACTTTCACAACCATACATTGCAACTGGGAAAACCATGGTCCTGACTATACGTACTTTGTTGGCAGGGTGATGTCTCTGCTTTTTAGTATGCTATCTAGATTTGCCATAGCTTTCCTCCCCAGGAGCAAGCGTCTTTTAATTTCTTGGCTGCAGTCCCCAAGCGCTCTCTAAGTTTATTGAAATTAGCTCTCTTAAAGTCCAAGACTCTAGTTTGACTGTGTTCTATTGCTTGTGCTTTCATAATGTTGAATTCCAATATTGCATGATCACTTCCCCCCAAGGTTCCTGTGGCTTCAACACCTTCTATCATTTCATCTCTGTTAGTGAGGATTAGATCCAATATGGCTAATCCCCTAGTTCCCTTCTCTACTTTTTGGGAGACAAAGTTGTCTGCTAGGTTTGTCAGGAATCTGTTTGATCTTCCACTTGGTGCAGAGTTTGTCTCCCAGTTGATGTCATTAAAGCCACTCTAATTACTGCGTCCTTTAAAGAAAAGAGAGTATGTTAGGTACTGCCAGAGAAATTATAACAAAATATTAGAATAATATTCTAATATCATCCAGAAATTATAATATTAATATGGAAAACATACAGTTTTTTCTTTGTCAGTGGAAGATTATTTTTAACTGAGTTAAGATACCATGATCTACAAAATGCAGAGAACTCACAGAATTCTTCTTGAACAAGTACTGACTGGCCACACAAGAAGAGAAAAGGATCACATGGACATTTTGGTATAAATCCAAAGCAATGTGAAAATCCCTTATAAACATGTAGCCAAAAACTTGCTTTGGACACAGTGTTCAGTTTGATTTAGAATTTTTAAAATTCATTGCCTACAATAAGATATTAGAAAAATGATGGAACAGAATGGAGAAAAGAACAATTAAGATGTTGTGCCTTAATTGCCAGGAATTATTAATTAAACCAGAATTAATAAAGGGAGAGTATATAAATCAAATAGTTGGTTTGGTTTTAAACCAACGAAATTATGCACATTACATTTGTAGTTAAAATCAGATCACGTCACTTGTAAAAATAATCAGATTTGTTTCAAAAAATAAAATAAATAGTAACAAAACACCAATATTTCTATAAATAACATTCATAAGGGCATGTAGCATTTTGGAAAGTGTAGATTGTATGGGCATACATTCTTAGAAGGTATTTTGGGAAAGAAATCAGTTAAAAAGAGATCAGAGAAATAGGAAAAATAATATAATTTTCCTCACTAGTCCTTGGTGTTTCAAAACTCAGGATTCCTTGCAATGTACTAAATTATTGGTCTAATGAACAAAATATAGAAGGCATTGATCCATGATCAATCTCAAAATTCCTGCTATATTTCTAATGAAGTCACTTTCCTTTCTAAAGCTATTCTCTCGTTTTAGAAAAAGTTATTTCACACAGCCTATAAATCTGTTTTTTTTTTTTAAAGAAATGATTTGGTGAAGACGTTTTTCACTGGAAAGAAAAGATACATTGTTGTTTCTTCCCCAGTCTACTGCCTGACTCTCATCATATCCATAAGCCTACACGGTTATTTGCCAAATTTAAAGAGATAAAAGATCTAGTCAAAAATTGCCACTATTTTATAGAAGCAAAAAAAATGAAAGAAGGAGCCAGTCACCAGGCTAGACAAATAATAAAGCCAACCCTGCCATGGGGGGGGGGATATTTTTACTGCCTTAGTATAGCATGATAGGGGACTTCAGTTCCCATAGTTAACATATAATTTAACTATAGTATAGTTAAAATTTAAAATTAAGGAAAGTTGATTGTAAATTTTAGAAACTACTTAATTAAATTCACAATGCATTGTGTATATTAAAACCTTAGCTGGCAAAAGCAATGAAGCTCTAACATTTTAACTGGCTGACTTTTGTCTATAGAATACTTACGTTCTCCAAATACTTTTTCTTGTCCAAAATGAAGTAATAAATCCTGGAAGAGAAGCCTTGCCAATTTTGTGGCCACTTCTGTGATGCTAGAACAATCTCTTATTTAAACAATTATGATATGCATTCTCCTATATATATATATATGCAAGGCTAAGACCTACCTCATAAAGTTCAAGGAAGATACCTGATAACAGGCTGGGTTCTAAGTGCTGGAAATGTTGTAACAGTCGAGATTTTTAAAGTTTGGCTGGTCACATGACTTACCTGAAACGACCTGTAAGATCATCAGAAAAATGACACACACATTGCACAGATACAAAAAGGCACTTCCTCCTCTGTTTTTTTTTATAAATAACTTTTATTAAAACTTTTTAAAAGAATGGTAAAAAAAATCAATACAAACTAAGGGAGAAAAAAGAAAGCTAAAAGGCAAGAAAGGCAAAAAAAGGAAAAGAAAAAAATGCTAAAAAGGAAATAAAGATACAAAGTGGTTTCTGATATTCTTCACAGCAGGTATAATTATATCATGATACTCCTCTTTTTACTTCCTCCTCTGTTTATGGTTTTGTTTTTCCCTTTCAAATCATGAAGCATAAACAGATGACACAGCCAGTCACACGCACACTACTGGAATGTGCCTGTATTTTTAATAGGTATACAGCACAGACTATAAGTTTTGATTTTCAAGTGTGGGCAGGGGCAAGGAGAAGCAGAGTCTCACCACTTTTTTCCACCATACTTTACAAAAAAAAAAAAAAAGATTCTATAGGAACATGAGCACAATCACACACACAAATACGAACTCCCAGAGACACCCAGAAATTAACCAACTGAAGAAAATGAACAAACAGGGGGGAAAGCCTGTAAGAAATCTTTTGCAGTAGACCAATTGTATAAAGTGCATCCTAATTATTGTTGTAATCATATAAATTCCAGAGAATAATTTTGAAGCACTTTTTATTGGATATCCGTTTTCTGTTATCCACAACTACATGTGGAACCCCCTAAAGTTACTCCATGCCCTAAAGGTTTCCCTTCTCCAGTTGTGTCCAACACTAGGCTCATCTATGTTACTTAGACAAGGAAGCCAGGATTCTTCAAAGACACTTCTGCAGTCATGTGGCCAGCATGACTATATGCCGAAGTGCATGAAATGCTGTTATCTTCCCACCAAAGCAGTACCTATTTATTTACTCACATTGCATGTTTTTAAACTGCTAGATTGGCAGGAGATGGAGCAAGTAACAGTTGCTTAACCTGTCATGAGGCACTTCGGTCTCGAACCTGGATTATCAGTTTTCCAGCTGACAAACTCAGTGCCTTTTAATTGTTAAGCTGTTGCACCCCCACATTGGCCTAAAGATACTGCCTTAAGATCATTTCCCCCCACCCCATTTGCAATAGCTACATTTCCACTCTGAATACTTGTAGAATGTATACACGTGAGTGCTCTGTTAGAATGTATTAAGTATGTATGCCCCAGTTAATGATCCATATTGCCACTATCATATAATGCCAGCCTTATGTAATGCTGTGGAAAAACAATAGCGGGTGGCTTTATTCCATATATTTATCTGAATAAACATGAATGAAAAACTGAGTATGGAAAACTCATTCAGTGCAGGCTAAAAAGGCAAACATGTTTGCTCAAGAAAATTTCAAATTACACAGCATATGGAAAAGTACCAGAATGAAGAGTCTGAAGAAGAAACACACGCGCACACACACACACACACACACAAAGATGGTCCTCAAAACAAATTGCTCCCATATGACTTGAATGAGGCAATAACATTCCAATGGGAAAGTATCAAGTAGTATGCCAAGGTGACATTGGCCAAGCTTTGATGAAATGGCCAAGCATTTTTGGAAGATATAAAAATGTATGGGAAGTATGGTCCTGAGGAACCCTAACACAGAACAATGTAGGTATCTCACTTTGAAGCTTTGGAACACATAGATAGCCTGGCCAGCCAGTCTTTGAGTTGAGAATGTATACATAGATATGTGAATGAGCAGAGATTTTAGTTTAAAAATGAAGAGAGAAAGATGTAAGCCTGCATTTGTTTCTAAATATCTGAACCTCTGGATAAAAAAAAAGAACAAATAGTTTTGGCAATATGGACTTTGAATTGATCTGGCAGGATGCATATCAACAGAGGGTCTTTCTTATCTAATATTGCATGAAGTGATTTTAAAGACATTACTCCCTACTTTAATAATTCATCATCAATTAATTGCAAAAGGCAGGTTTACTTGGAACAACTTAAATGCTATGATGATACTCCAACAGCATCAAACATCCACATCTGCCAATTCCAGGTCTTTGGGAAGGATTCAATAAGTGGATAAAAATGATAAATCCAAATCTGGTTGAGTGCATGTCAGCCATAATAATAATAGCAGACAAAAGATACTGACAGACTTAGGTTCTACAGAAACTGCTACAGGCAGTTGTGAAGGTCAAACTTTCATAACCTGCAGACCTTCTAGATCAGACATGTCAAACTCGCAACGTCATGTGATGTCGCGTGACATATCAGGACTGTTTTTCCATTGGCAATAGGGTGGGTGCAGCTTCCGCGTGACGCATCCGGCCCACGGGCCAACTGTTTGACACCCCTGTTCTAGATGGATTTAAACTCCCCAAATTCCTCAGCTAGCCTGGGACAATCCAAATTTTCTCCTAATAGTCTCCACATGTTTAATATCCCCAGAACAACATTGGTTTGAGGAAGATGCAAAACTGGAGTCTGGATGCCAATGTAAAATGATGAACAAGCCACCAGGTCTTCTATAGAAAACATTCTTGGGAAATAGCAATGAAGCGACTTATCCAAGTTTTTGAGAAATAGTTTTAAAAGTTACCCTCACTGGAGAAATATAATGAAATTATGTCCACAGTTTTGAAAAGCCTTTTCGGTTACGTTGACCAAGTATGCAAAGGTCCACCTGACATCCTTATGATGTGGCCAACCACTGAGTATTTCTTTTGACATTCCTAAACAGCCTGTCATTTCTCATCTTTGAAATGGGATGACAAACTGTGAAGAACAAGTATTTATTTGGCATAATATTTCAGCTTGCTTTTTCTGCCTTTAATTAGCTTTCAAATGTGTGGGTTTTTGTATTATGTATACATATTTAAAAAGGATTCCAGTGGTGCAAATCTTCACTCAGTCATCTAAAGCCTTTCTTTTCCGAATAGAAATAGCATCACAGCTATTGCCTTTCAATGAATTTTATATATTAAAGAAGACAGGTCCATAATGTGGGATGTGTCCTTTCTAAGAGTAACACATGCATCTCATTTTCATGAAGCTTTACAATCAGCCATGACCACCTGTCATAAGAATGAATTCCACTGGTGAATGGATGCTTCTTCACATCCTACCCCACTTCTCTCTCTTTTTTCCCCACTCTTTCCATTCCCACATCTGTTCCCAAATCTGAACATTTGGGAATTTCAGCACAGATTTTAACAATTCAGAGTAAGAGGACAGATCCTCCTAGCTTAAGTCTATCGATATGCTCATGAACCAAAAAGGACTGGATTTTGTTAGCTATTCCACATTTTTTAAAATGTTTTTCAAATTATTCATTGTACCAGTATTTTTATACATAATTTTATCAAAGTTTTTTTTTTAAAAAAAGGAATATAAAAACAAATCCACACTAAAATAAAGTAAGAAAAAAAGCAGAAGAAATCAAAGAGGAAGCTAAAAATGTAGAAAGGAAAAAAAAGTAAAAGAAAAATACAAAAGAAAGAAAAATCTTACAAAGATGCCAATCCACTTTACAATTTATAATTATAAATTTATCTCTTACTCTATGGTTTTCAACAATCTATGGGCAAAAGACTTTATGGCTTGTAATACCTGTACAGCTAGTCCTCACATATTGACTGACTTGTTTAGTGCCCCAGAAAAGGTATAGTGATATAAAAAAAATCAGCTTTGCAGCCAATCTTCACATTATAACTGTCACAGCATCCCATGGTCCCATGATTGTCATCTGTGTGCTTCCCAAATTAAAATTGTAAGTGGCAATCATGTGATGGTTCATTTAACGAACACAATATTTAGTGATGGACTTACTGTTCTAATTTGTGCTCAATAAGCAAGGATGATCTATATGCCAACTTTATAATGGTGCCTTTCTTTCTTTTGCCACTTTACAAAAAAAATTAGGAGCAAAACAATATATCAAACTTCTAGCAAGTGTAATGCCTCAAGCTTCAGTGAGCACAATCCTGATTACTGTTGTCTAAAAATAGCTAGCTTATAGATAGTGAGTTTGTTGGCAATGAAATAGATGAAAAAGAGGATGAAAAAAGTAGGTTAAAATAGATTCAAAGCAGTCAATAGTAACAATTAACTTGAGATCATAGCTCATAATATATCATTTACTGAATTCAAAACCAGTAAAACAAGTTCCAGACATCATATGTGTGGTAAGATCTCTTTAACTCCTTTCATAATGCAAAAAAGAATTAAAAGTCACTAGAGAATTCATCCATATTTTTATTTACAGCTCTACACATATTGACTGAAGGCATTTCCCCACTACCAAGTTTTATTGGTGTCTACATAGCTACGAGTTGGCAGAAAATTATACTGGCACACAGTGCTTTTTTTGTTTTTTTGTTTTTAAAAAGGTGCCGGAACTAACGCACAGCTCCAGCTCCAGTCGAAAGCCCTTTATGGAGGGGGGGAACCACTTTAGGGAGCTTCCGAGGTGCAGATCATGTGAGCAGCATGAGCTGACAGATGCCATTACCGCGGCTTTTGAAGGGCACTTTTTCAGAGCCGGCATGTCTTCTGCCATCTTGTCCTCCTCTGCCTCTGATGACACAGAGGCTTCTTCTGGAGCCAGAGAACACCTGGTCCCTCAAAGAGATTCACTACAGGAGTCAGTCCTGGTCCCTGGTAGCCAACATGGGGGTGAGGACAGGTGACGGCGGCGGAGGGAGCCCCATAAACCAAGGCAGAGAAGAGGGTCTGCTTTCAGGGCTGTGGAAGTGTTTCTGGTCGACCTTCAATGCCCCCGATTTCCCCAGACAGCTTCCTTTCACTGAGCCAAAGCTTTACTTGCACTGGAAGCTTAGAAGAAATCGGTTGTTCCCTTCAAAAAAAGGTGCCGGAATGCCATTCCGTGAGTTCTATGACAAAAAAAGCACTGCTGGCATGAAATTTGCTGTTCCCTGTCTTGTTCCTGGTCATTGCCAATCACCCTGACTACCTTCCAAAGCAACTGATGACAAAGCCTAAGTGATTTCATCTAGATTACTGTTTCTTGACCATGGCAACATTAAGATGTGTGCTCTTCAGTCCCCAGAATTCCCCAGCCAAGTCTGAGAAACACTGATCTAGACACTATTCTTACATGATGTCAGAAATAAGGTAAAGGAAATTACTTTAGTGCCAGCACTGTAAAGATGACTTTGACCTATATCACTCATCATAAGAAAGAAAATAAATGCTGCCAGGGTATCACTTGGTTTGTGATTAGATATAGGTGGGACCTGATACAAGAGAAGTAAGAAAAATATGGATGCATTATATGAAGAGCTATTAGACTGAAAAGTTGATACCTTACAGTTTAAGTTTGAGAAATATAGAATACAGTGAAATGAGTAACTAAGAAATGTTCACTATCAAAAACAGACATTACTGAACAGATTAAGTTGTAGAAAACATGGACAAGAAGGCTGAC